ATTGGGACTTGGATTTTTTTTTGAAAGGTGGACGCTTTGGAGTTTTGGTGGACACTGGACGCTCAACTTAAAAGTATTGGGACATTAGACCTTGGAAGTAAATAGACAATAAATAAGAAGGATACAAATTTGAAAAAAAAAGAAGAGAGTGATCTAGAAGAAGAAGAATCAATTGTAAAGTATAATTAATTGTATTAAAAGCTGATAACAAATTAGCGATTAATAAGCATAAAAAGTATTAATATTAAATGTACTGTTTCTGAAATCTCATATATAACCTTATATACCACATATATAACTGTTAACTTAGTTTTATATTTACTTTAAATATATATATACTTTAAATATATATTTATACTTATCTTAGTTCTATATTTTATCTTGGTAGTTAAATATCATATTGCTTTGTATGTTTAGTTTTGAAAAATTATATTAGACAGACTAAGTGAATCTAGGATTGTAATTAAGGGTAATTGATATCAATAAATAGTAATTAATAATAAATTTAAATAAGATAGTAAGTAATTAATTATAAGGACAGTTAACTGATGAATTGCTGAAGTATTAGACTTTTCCCTCCCTCCCTCCCTCTATATTTCACCCCCATGTTTAGAGAGTAATATAGGCTAAATAGCCATCAAGAATTGAAGAACTCTGTAAAACATTGAAAAGTGAAAGATAGAACTTATAGATAAATTTATATATAGATAGTGATTGTGTGACAAGGAAACTTATCCTAGTTGTTTATCTCCCTGGGATTACTGAAAGCCATAAATTGAATATAAATACCAAAAGAAATATAACAGCCCAAATAGTAATCAGTATATGAAACTCTGGGAGAAGATAACAAAAGAAATACTAATGGCAACTACAGGCTCAGCAACAATTACTAAGTCAAATAAGAAAATACCATCAAACCAGATGATACTCACGGCCTCTCCAGCACAACAAAAATCAGTTGAAACTACGGAAAAAGATAAAGCAACCCCCACTCTTAGTATGCAAAACATTCATTCCGTATTAACGATGATCCAGGAAGGAATGAATAGAATGCAAGAGACCATGGCCCACAATCATGAGGAGACAAGGAAAAATCACGAGGAACTTAGGACGGATGTGGGAGAGATAAAGGATAATATTAGGAACATGGATGAGAAGATAGGAAAGATACAACAGAAAATAGAGGAAAACAAAAAGAGGATTCATAAGGTGGAGGAGAGAATAGAACATACGGATAAGAGAATGGAGAAGATGGAATATAACCAAGCAGCCACAAATAAGGACCTAGAGGACTCGTTATCATATCTCGAGATGGAGAAGGCATCCTTCTACTTAAGGTTTCAGAATGTAGAAGAGCAAAAGGAGGAGGACTTAGGAGAAATCATGACTGAAATACTCTCAGAAGTGACCCAGAGGGACAAGGAAGAGATACGAAGTGGAATAGATGAAATCTATAGAGTTCACACGAACTACGCCCGGAGAAATAAGTTACCAAAAGAAATACACATTAGATTTACAAAAAAATCTTTAAAAGAAGAGATCTACAGGAGGATGAGAGAGGATACAACTATGTATAGGGGAAAAGAAATTTTAACCCTCAAACAGATACCAAAAAGGACAAGGGACCAAAGAAGGAACTACAACTTTCTAACGGCACAGTTGAATAAATTTAAAATAAAGTTCCGCTGGCTAATACCGGAGGGTCTATTAATCTCCTGGGAAGACAAAAAATATAGAATTGATAACTTAGAAAAAGCACAGGACTTTTTCGACCAACACTTTGTACTGGAGGAGAAGCAGGAGAGCAGAGAAGAAGAGGAACTTAAGAGGCAAGAGGAACAGCGGACAGAGAAAGAAGAAAGAGATGAAGAAGAGGGGAGAAGATTGGAAAGAGAAAGAATGGAGATAGAGGGAGCGAGGGAAAAGACGCAAAGAATTACTAGAAACACAAAAAGACTGAAAACAACGAATAGACAAATAAAGAGAGATGGAAAGAGAGCTAAAACTTATTTCAATCAATATAAACGGACTTAATTCACCAGCCAAAAGAAAACAGACATTTACAAAACGGCATTGGTCGCGTTGGTTGATGATCTCTGGAGGGCTCGGGACAGGGATTGCTCCTCTGTTCTGGTCCTATTAGATTTCTCAGCGGCTTTTGATACCATCGACCATGGTATCATGCTGCACCGGTTGGAGGGATTGGGGTGGGAGGCACCATGTTGCGGTGGTTCTCCTCCTATCTCTCCGACCGGTCACAGTCTGTGTTGGCAGGGGGGCAGAGGTTGACCTCGAGACGCCTTGTTTGTGGGGTGCCACAAGGGTCGGTCCTCTCGCCACTCCTGTTCAACATTTATGTGAAGCCACTGGGTGAGATCATCCGTGGATTTGGGGTGTGATGCCATCTGTACGCTGATGACACTCAGCTGTACATCTCCACCCCAAACCACCCCAACGATGCCCTTGAAGTGATGTCCCAGTGTCTGGAGGCCGTGCAGGTCTGGATGGGGAGGAACAGGCTTCGACTCAACTCTTCCAAGACCAAGTGGCTGTGGATGTCGGCATCCCGATATAGCCAGCTGGTGCCATCGCTGGCTATTGGGGGCGAATCATTGACCCCCACAGAGGGGGCTCGCAACTTGGGCGTCCTCCTGGACACACGGCTGTCTTTAGAAGAGCACATGACGGCTGTGGCCAGGGGACTTTTTATCAGGTTCCCCTGATACGCCAGTTGCGCCCCTTTCTGAGTCGGGATTCCTTATGCGCAGTCACTCATGCTCTCGTCACTTCTCGCCTGGACTACACCAACGCTCTCTACATGGGGCTCCCCTTGAGGAGCACCCGGAGGTTCCAACTGGTCCAGAATGCGGCCGCGCGGGTGATTACGGGAGCGACATGGCGCTCCCATATAACACCTCTCCTGCGTGAGCTGCACTGGCTCCCGGTGGTCTTCCGGGTGCGCTTCAAGGTGTTGGTTCTCACCTTTAAAGTGCTCCATGGCTTAGGGCCAGGGTATTTACGAGACCACCTTCTGCTACCGATAAGCTCCCACCGGCCAGTACGCTCTCACAGAGAGGGCCTCTTCAGGGTGCCGTCGGTCAAGCAATGTCGGCTGGCGGCCCCCAGGGGGAGAGCCTTCTCTGTGGGAGCACCCGCCCTCTGGAACGAGCTACCTCCCAGAATACGGCTGATTCTGGATCTCCACACTTTCCGTAAGGCCCTGAAGACGTTTTTATTTCAGCAAGCCGGCCTGGCCTGAATAGGTTTTATGGGTTAGTTTTTTAATTGTATAGCTAGGGGTTTTAAATTGGGAGGCTGATTAATTTAATTTATTTTTAATTATCTTAAATTTTATATTGTATGTTATTTTAATTTCGGCTGTTCACCGCCCTGAGTCCCTTCAGGGAGAAGGGCGGGATATATATATATATCTAAATATATATATATATATATAATAAATATCTTAGCTCCTATTTTCTCCTAAGCTTATATATATATATATATATATATATATATATATATATATATATATATATATATATATATATATATATATATATATATAAATATCTTAGCTCCTATTTTCTCCTAAGCTTTTTCCCGTACCATGCTTATTTCCAATAAGTATCATTTTAAATCACTTTGAAATCAATTTTCTATAATTATTAAATCTTTAAATAATTCTTTTTAATATCCAGCACTTTGAAGAACATTTTCTTCTAAATTATTAGATTTGTAAATAGAGCTTAAAAATTCCAAATTTAAAAAGGTATTAAAGCATCCAAAAATCATGTTTTTCAATCATTTATACTCTTTTTCTAGTCAAATTGTTTGTATATTCATAAAATCAACTTTAATAAAAATAATAGTGAAAAAAGAGAGAGAATAGTAACATTATTAACAATAGTTAAAATAAAAAAGGAAAGGAGAAACAAAAATAAAGAAGAAAAAGAGAATAAAAATATAACAAAAGAAATTGAAAAGAGAATTAGAAAAAATAGAGAGGGGAAAAGAGACAAAAGGAAAAAGAAAAAAAAAGACTAGAGAAAGAACAAAGAGAAGAAGGAAAGTATCTCCTAAGATTGTTCAGACATCAAACTCCCAGACACCCTTACATCCATTTAATTCAAACTATGGTATTTTGTTATCTTGTTACATGATATATTCCATTTTTTTTTCTTTCTCCAATCTGTCTGAGTATATTTGTTTTCCTTCTTTTGTCTGCAACCGTTCTTCATATGTTTTAGTCTCCAGGCCATCAACATGACTGACAACTACAATAGCACAGTTCTCACGTCATGTTAAAATCAGTTAAATCATGATGAAATGCTACAAGCAAACAGATTTTGTATCTCCTCAATTTTTTCTCTCATACCATCAGAACACCTAACCCTCACAGTACTGTCTTATATCTAGTATATTCACCCATGTTGTAAGGTTGTTGCATTATTATTATCCTTCTCATCTTCTTTACATCTTATCGTAACGGTATCATATTACCGTTATTACCTGTTGCTTCACATATACATTGAGAGCTTCTGCCCCAAAGACAAATTCCTTGTGTGTCTAATTATACTTGGCCAAATAAAACCTGTTCTGTACTGTTGTTCTGTTCTGTTCTGTTCTGTTCTGTTTTATTCTATTCTAATTCCTACTCTATTCTTCTGTTCTGTTCTATAATAGGAAATAATAAACTTAACTAAGAAAAAGTTATATACAAAATATTTTGAATATAGTCTATTTATTCACATGGGGTAAAAAAAGATGGCAACCTTGTCTGTGCAATCAAAATTCTGTCCATTAATCTCAGTTGCTATCTTAGCTTTACTGACCCCACAGCAGAGGCCCCATTGATCGTTCCATTGTTCTAAACAATGTGATGTCATCCCTGTGGGTTGAATAAAAATTAACAATAAACGTATCAGACATAAAGAGAATTTGTTCAGACCTCAGTTTTTCCAACAGGTTTTGTTTACAACAATTCCAGCAGCAATACGTACTATGGCAGCACTCTTGTTTGTGAATAAGCGCATGTCTCTGGCACTGCTATAACGAATATAGTTCCCAAGATACATCGCAAGCCAACTGGACCTCTCAGGATTGCTGGGATTGTAGCATCGGGGTCTGCTTTTGCTTGCTGTACGAAAAATCATTCCAGTTACTTTTAAAGAAACCTAGTTCCAGACACTGGTCTCTCTGATATATTTTTATCCTATCCTGTTTTTATTTTACAGTTTTGTAAGTATTTTAAAGCACTTGCATTTTTAATACCACTAGAAAATGCTATAAACAAACTAGCTAATATTAACACAATGCTCAGAATTCGGAGTTAGCAATGTTATGGGATTCAGACAGGTGGCAATTACTGGTATTTCTTTCTTTCTGGTTGTTCCTGGCAGAAAACCAGAAGGACCAGTCTGTGGTTAGCTCAACTCCAAGACTTGAGATCAAGACAGATGTATCACACTGTCATAGGGACACATAAATAAGGGATTTCTACTACAGCAAGCAGTTTGAGATAGATATGTGACTTTTTCTTCCTCCTTGTGAGGGAAGCTTTACATGCAGTTTTGACGGCCCTTTTTACATGAGGATTCCAGCTTAGGTGGACATCTGCTTTTATAAGCCAACCTATTTCAAACTATATTTATGATTTGTAGAGACTAGGGGTGGGTTCCACTTACCTTTGCTACCAGTTCGCAACAGGAGCGCGCACAGGATGCTTCTGCACATGAGCAGTGTCTGTGATGACATCCAGGCGGGAGGGCGGAGCCTCCCGCCACTGTTACTACTGGTTCGCAAGATCCGGACTGAACCGGTAGCAACCCACCACTGGTAGAGACTGAATGAACCTCATTCTGATGTGAAGGTCCTTGTGCCATGTTCTGATCTGAGAAGGTGTTACATGTGAGCTATGTGTGGTTAGATGTTGGGCCTATAGTCAGCTCTACTTGCAAGGGAAACAGAAAGAGAACTTCTCCCATGGCCTTACCAGTCAAATAAGCTTTCATGGAAAAGTACATTTCTTCTTCCTTATCTTTGAATATCACAATATTTTCACTCAGTTTGTTCACTCTGCAGAAAGAGAGGTATGGAGTAAGTGTTGGCCGTAGAGCTCAGACTTCTTTCTTGCAAATTCATTAGCTTTACTAGTTGACCACCACTTAGCCAAACTGTTAAATAAACACATAAAAACAAACAATCTCTTTGCTTCAGAATTCAAAATCTTATTGGTTGTAAGTTTCAACAAGTAGACCATAAATAAAATGTTGAATGGGAGAAGCTAGAGAAGAGAAATTTTTAAAAGATTAACAGAGTTGGAAGGGACCTTGTAGGTCTAGTCCAACTCCCTGCCTAAGAACCCTACACCATTGCTGACAGATGGCAGTCCAGTCTCTTCTTGAAAGCCTCCAGTGATGAAGCTTCCACAACTTCTGAAGGCAACTTCTGTTCCATTGGTTGATTGCTCTGTCAGAAAATTTCTCATTTCCAGGTTGAATCTTTCCTTGTTCAGTTTCCATCCATTGTTCCTTGTCTGGCCTTCAGGCACTTTGGAAAATAGCTCGAGCCCTTCTTCTCTGTGGCAGCCCCTCAAATATTGGAACACTGCTATCGTATCTCCCGTTCCTTCTCTTCACTAGACTAGCCATGCCCAGTTCCTGCAACTGTCCATTGTATGTTTTAGCCTCTAGTCCCCTAATCATCTTGGCTGCTCTTCTCTGCACTTTTTCTAGAGTCTCAGCATCTTTTTTATAGTGTGGTGACCAAAACTGGATTAAGTATTCTAGGTGTGGTCTTACTTTATAGAGTGGTATTAGTACCTCCCTTGATCTTGATTGTATCCCTCTGTTAATGCAATTTAGGATTGCATTGGCTTTTTTGGCTGCCGCCACACAATGCTGGTTCATATTTAATTGATTGTCCACTAAGACTCCCAGATCCCTAACAGTTACTGCTATTAAGCCTGGTTTCACCCAGTGTACCAATGTACCAATGATAGGAAAGAAAACTGACAACACTCTCATCATAAAATGCTTATAGCAGTAGAAATGACACTTAGACTTATATACCACTTCATAGCACCCCCTCTGAGTGGTTTACAAAGTCAGCATCTTGCCTCCAGCAATCTGGGTCCTCATTTTACTAACCTTGGAAGGATGGAAGGCTGAGTCAACTTTGAGCCAGAAGGATGTAAAGCTGGGTCAACTTTGATTGAACTCCTGGTTGTGGGCAGTTGGCCTGCAATATTGTATTCTAACCACTGCGCTGCCACCACTATAATTGCTTATAGAAAGCAATTCTTTTTTAAAAATGATAAGGAGTGGGGTTGTTGGAACATGAGACAGAATTCTATGGGACCTATTCTGAATTAGATCTATTTGTTTCCCAAAGAGGTGTCCAGCTCTGGCTCCTCCATTCCTAATTCCCATTAGTTGGATACTGTAGTGCCATCTATCTGGAGTTCCAAAGTGAGGTAGGACTCCATGCCAGCAAATTGACATGGCCACATACTTACATTTTTTGGAATGTACCACAGCTGGTGTTCAAGGTCTCACTAGCATTCAACATATCACCATTAAGAAGCATGAAGGAATGAGCCAAGCGGCTATCCAGCCACAAGGACACCTCAGCTTCTTCGCTGCTAGAAACCACGCTAGGCCACAGCCCAGCCAAAAGAGCCACCTTGGTGCTGTTTGGAAGAATGTCCTGCAAGAGGAAAGCCGTAGAACTAAGATCTGAGTGCTAGAAATCTAACCAGGGATGAGAATAATCCAAAAACAACAATGCAGGTACATCTCGTGTGCCAATTATGCCCTTTCCTTGACTGGGAGGACTTGCAGGTAGGGGGTCAGCCATGCCCTAGTCACCTAGCAATTGAACTATGCCAACATTTTGGACGAGGCTGCCCTTCAAGGCCACCTGCAACAGGGTTTCTCAACCACAGCAACTTTAAGACGTTCAGACTTCAATTCTCAGCCAGCACTGAGATTGAGAAAGACTGTTATGGAAGTTATAGCTGGTTCAAAATGCAGCAGGACAAGCAGCAACGGGCATTTTTCTTATGCCTACGTGTCACTGCTGTGCCATGAGTGCAATTCAAGGTGCTGGTACTTTTCTTTAAAGGCTTTCATGGCATAAGACCTGGTTACTTGAGAGACTGCCTGTCCCCCGCTCCCCACCCCCGTCTTTTTGGTACATTTAGCAGGGTGGGGGGACTCCAGTTCCCTTCTGTTAAATGTTGTCACAGATTTGTTTTATTGGCTGTTTTTAGTTCTGCCTTTTAAAATGTTTGTTTTTGTAATTGTTTAATTTAGTATTACATTCTGTAAATTACCCAGAGTCCCTGGCAGCTATATTAAATTAATTAATAATAATGTTTATACTGTACATACGTATTATACTTAAAGTTCACTTTTTAATGGTTTGTTAAATAAGCCACAATTGTTTCTTACAATAATATTTTTCTGGTTAAGTCTGTCAATAAATAAGCCAGTTTTATTATAGATCTTTAACACAGCCGTCAAGAAAGGATCATCATCAATGAATCCCTCTGTAGAAAACAGCTCAGCTAGCTCATCTGCTGGAACTGTATTCACAATCTGAAAAAAAGAAAAAGAATAGAAAATCAGCATCCAAATCAGACTAGAGACTCCTTAGCATAGCGAGGTAGCAAGAAGGACTCATGCCCTGATTGTACAGAACAGATGATTGGAGCGGGGTGGGGGGGAGGGAAATGCAGCTCCCCAGTGTTAACTGGGACATTTTTCATGGGTCATTCCTGCATGAATGATTGACAGCCAATTTGGGCTACTGGTTAAAGAACTGGGCTAGAAACCGGGAGACTGTGACTTCTAGTTCTGGCTTAGGAAAGAAAACCAGCTGGGTGACTTTGGGCCAGTCCCTCTCTCTTAGCCCACAACCTCAGGCTCAGTCAATAAGACAGCCAATCAACACTCCGTTGATTTGAAAAAAGCAGGAAAATTATTAGGAAGGGGAAAAAATCTGCATGAATAATTAGATATAATTTTGATGCCAGTGAATAACAACAGTACCTTTTGGAAGTCAGAGGAGGGAATTAACGTTTCCAGGTCCTTCAAAGTCAGGAAGACAATAAAACCCTGAAACGTCTTTTCTAGAAACACCAAAAAATTGTCTGAAGCATAGCATCGAAGAGAGGAGGCTGAAGTCAAGGAAGGGAGGACAAAAGGTATTTCAATAAAAATCAGGTAAGATCATTTGACAATTTTTAAGCTTCTCAAGTAAAAACATTATCAGGATGTTTAATATTTGAAATGTCAAGCTTGGTTTTTCCAAAATTAAAAATTTATACTTAAGATTTAAACGTTACCTTTACTGAGGATGAAAGCAAAGCCTGCATCCTTAGTAATAATCATACTGACATTTATTTAAAACATTGATAATAATGTGAAGTTCCTCTTATGTATGATTTTAACAATCATTGCAAGAACTCTGTAAAAGTCAACACTGAGCCCCATTGGAGAATCCAAGGGCAGAGGGATGTAGACATGGGGGAACAGGGCATCCAAAGGCATCTAACAAAGTCAGCTGAATGGGGTTCTTGTGAAAGTGTCCTTCACCCTTTATAGTCTCTGCTGTTCTGCCCCCTCCATCCAAAATGCAGCCCACCAGCCTTTTGCTTGGGGCAGCTTAAAGCACTGGGACTGCTCTGGTTGCTAGTTACCTGAGATCACCCTAAGGATGGCTTCAAAAATTTTCTGTCGGGTAGCATTGCCAAATTGACCAAGAGAACCGTTTAACAGAGTTACTCTGTAATACAGAAAAAGTATTATTACTCCCAACCATTCAGAAAGAATGCAAAGTGCTCAAAAGGGGCTGATATGCAAGACAGACAGGCGCAGGTGCCATGAAGGCTCCTGCCTACATCTCTAGCTTAGGCCTGAGTGTGTTGTGCAACAAGGCAACAAGGAATATAAAGCCCAGGAAAAAATAAAGAATCCCTCTTAGCCATGAATATTGTCTCGCATCTCCTGTACTCTCCGGTCTGTAATATATAACATAACATAATATAATAAAATATATTTACTAAAACTAGTAAAGTCGCATTTTTAGTTGGAAAGCCTTATAAACCCAGTAAGTAGATAAGGTGTGTGTGTGTGTGTGTGTGTGTGTGTGTGTGTGTGTGTGTGATATATGACATATGAAATATGATGTGACATATCTATAACAATTAATATGGCACTTAAAAATAGCAGAATTAAAGAACTTATTCAAATGAAATAATCGTTAATAAGTAATAGAGCTCATACACAGCATTGACAGCAGAACAATTTCTGGTCTCCAGATCCTCAAATAAGAGTGGAACAAGTGAACTGTTTATTCCCGATATCAATTTTGGGAGGTATTGCATCATCCAGAGTGTCAACTCCACATCATCTGCCTTTCGAAGGATGGGCTGGGCTGCCACCAGCAAGTGCTCCAGGAGGTTGGCTTGGACCTCCTTTGGCAGGCTAACATTGTCCTTGAAAAGGAAGATCAAGCAGAAGAGTGTGACTGAATTATTGTATTATTTCTTGAGAGAGGGATTAGATAAAAGTAGAAATTAGATGTTTGGGCACCAGGTGGACTCTCTGATAATCAGATGAGACTTTGACAAAAGCTTTGCAATTGTGCCTCTCCCTGATACCTATCCAAGGATTTCCCTTGATGGATGCACTTCCATTTCAAGGGACCTGTTCCATCTGAAACTGCCTTAGAATAAAGGTCACATCCTGCTAATGAACTCTAATCAGTTTATCTCCTCCTCACTTCATCTGGGCTATAATACTCATTGGAAGAATAACAGAATAACAATTGGAAGGGACCTTGGAGGTCTTCTAGTCTAACCCCCTATTCAAGGAGACCATTGACCATTACAGTCAAATGGCTGTCCAATCTCTTCTTAACAACTTCCAGTGATGGAGCACCCACAACGACAATTGTTCTAACTGGCAGGAAAATTCTCCTTAATTCTAGGTTGGATCCCTCTTTGTTAAACTTCCATCCGTTACTTCTTGATGCTTTGGAAAATAGATTTGACCCCCTTTTCTTTGTGGCAGCCCCTTAGATATTGGAAGACTGCTATCATGTCACCCTAGTCCTTCTATTCATTAAACTAGACATAACCAGTTCCTGAAACCGTTCTTTGTTTTCGCCTCCAATCCCCTAATCATTTTTGTTGCCCTTTCTGTACTCTTTCTAGAGTTTCACCATCTTTTTTATATCATGATGACCAAATATGAGTTGTAAGGAAGGAAAGATGGGGAATAGATCCACATTTTTTTTTAAAAAAGGATGTATTTTATACCTGAATCAAGACTCAAAGATGGGAAAGCTAGCTTTCCAATGTGCCCAGAAAAAATGAATGATACATAATTTTAGAAAGTTCACTAAGATCAATGTATGAGAACCATATTATGTGGACTCTAAGTAAGACTTTGGGCCAGTCAGTCTCTCTCAGCCCAGCATACCTCACAGGGTTGTTGTTGTAGGAAAATAGGAGGAGGAAGGTATGTGGGAAATGCTTGTTATTTGTAAAAATAAAAAGGTTGGATACACATTAAATAAATAAAAGTATATGAAATTATGTAGATGAATCAAACAAATAAATGATTTGTAAAACAGAGTGTTACCTCAGTGAGACATGGAAAAAATAATAATTCAGCCCCATATAAGAAAAACAAAACCAGAAGACACAGAAAATAAGTAGTTGGAAGCCATCTTATTCAAATAAAATTCTCAAATAAAAGAATTAGTTATTGACTCTTAGCCTACAGGCTCATCCCCCAGTGTCCTAACTGTGACTCAAAGATGCTTCTTTAAATGTTCTTTTGGAACCCAGTCCCATAAGGCCATCTTCATCTCATCCAACCCATGAATTTTATCTATCTAATCCAATGTTAATGCAGTGTTTCCATCTCCTCCCAAAACAAGTCTTGCTTATACATGATTTGTGGAGCCTGGTGGCAACCACAAATTTGTCAGTCACATTTTAGCCCCATGTGTGTAAATAGTTTGTGGCTCAGTGTGTCATGCAAACCTGGAAGATTTGAGGGAATTGCAAAATCAACATAATTGAATGCAGCCTTAATGATTGCAAACACTTCATAAAATGTAATGCCACCTGATCTGTTTTCATACCTGTCTGCTGAATTCGTTAATGTATTCTGTCAGTGTAGCTGTTGTTATGAGATGCATCACACTCTCAACATCTTTGGGTGTCTTCAGAGCTCCATCACTGGCAGAAAACTGTGCAAGTTGCCTGACTGTTAATTTCTTGAGAACAACCAACTAAGAAGGAAAACAGGCAAGTCAGTGGAAAGATGAGAACCGCAATAAAAATACAGCTTTTTAGCCTATATATTCAAATATCTCAAGTCTATCTTTTTTTTTAAATACTCCTATTTTCCACTTTTTTTATTTACAGAGAAATTCTAAATTTATGAAATATTTTCATGGCACAATTGATCCACAAATAAGAGAGGTCTATATTCAGTAAAATTCTCTTTTAATGAATTGACCAAGTTTGAAGATTGAATTCAATGTTGAAAAAGTGATGTAGCTAATGCACATTTATTCTATGTTCTGCAATACAATCAGCATGGCCACAGTAGCCCCAAAGGGGCTTTTCAAAAGGCAACTTGGTTTCCTTGGTTTTTTTCATGAAAACGTTTTACTTTTCATCCATGACCTGGATGATGATTGAGAAGCCCACTGACATATGGCCACAGGAAGGATCAGCTGCCAGGGAATTTTGCTCCATCACAGCATATCTGAAAATTGAAATGTACCTACTGATGGTAGATGGTTACACCTGTTCTTTCTAGGCTAGTTATAAAAGAGTTCATTTTGATTTGCAATGAAAATAGAGCAAATATCTCATGGAAATAAAGACAATAGTGAGCCATAAATCCCTTTCCAACTCTGTTAATCTATTAATGCAGATGGAGGGATGATATTCTGCAAAGAAATTTAGAAAACAGAGAATGAAAAGTAGAATAAATAAGTAATGTTAGCTTCACCAATTCTTTTTTTTTATTGAAAAGTTTTACAGAAAAAAAAGAATTTCCCCCCCAATATTCCCCCCACCCTTTCCCTCCCCTCCCCCCCCAGACTTCCCAGAACAAAATACAAGGTATTTCAATTAACAATCATAAACTAAATTAACTTATCTATCCTCAGACTACTAAATCCCCCCCTGAAACCTTAACTCCACTATAGATAACATAATACTTCTAATACTTAACGTTCATTCATAAGCTATTTGATATTTTCTTGTCTGATACTTATTTTGAATATAATCAATCCATCTTCTCCATTCCGATACGTATCTTTCTTGTGTATAGTCCTTCAAATAAGCTGAGATTTTCGCCATTTCTGCTAAGTTTGTTACTTTCAGTATCCACTCTTCAATAGTAGGCAAAAAGTCCTTCTTCCAGTATTGCACTACCAACAGCCTTGCTGCTGATTTTAAGTTCAAAATCACTTTAGTCTCTAATACTGTACAATCCGTCGTTATACCCAGTAAAAACAATCGAGGAGTAAATTTCAACCTTTTTTTCAGAATGTTCTGCATCACCCACCAAATTTTTATCCAAAATGCCTTGATTTTCTTACAGGTCCACCATATATGATAATAGGTTGCATCATCACATTCACATCTCCAACATTTAGCTTGCAAATTTGAGTACATGCATGATAATTTTTTAGGATCTAAGTGCCATCTATAAAACATTTTATAAAAATTCTCTCTCAAATTTTGTGCTTGTGTAAATTTAACATTTCTGACCCAAATCTTTTCCCATGTTTCCATCATCACTGGTTCCTGAAAGTTTTGTGCCCATTTTATCATACAATCCTTAACCAATTCCGTTTTTTTTTTAAATTTATTTATTTATTTTTAATTTGATTTATATGCCGCCCTTCTCCGGAGACTCAGGGCGGCTTATAATGTGCTAAGCAATAGCCTTCATACTTTTGTATATTTATACAAAATCAGCTTATTGCCCCCACAACTGGGTCCTCAATTTACCTACCTTAGAAAGGATGGGAGCCTGAGTCAACCTTGAGCCTTGGCGAGATTCGAACCTGCAGTAATTGCAGGCAGCTGTTCTTAATAACAGGGTGCTTTAGACCACTGTACAACCAATCTTTCTGAATCTATTCCAATAAAGCATTATACAACCTTTTAATATGCATCTGACTTTGATCTCTAATCTGTTTCACCAAATTTTCCTCATTTTGCATAACACCAATTTTTTGATCTTCCCTCCATCTAGCTTGAAGCTGACCATACTGAAACCAAGTATAAATTATCCCTTCTTCTTTTAATCCATCTAAAGATTTCAATTGCAGTTTACCCCTTTCCAAAAGAAGAAGCTCTTTATAAGTAATCACCTCTGTTTTTTGCTCTATACTTATATTTTCTATTGCATGTCTGGGATTTGCCCATATGGGTATCTTATAGTTTAGCTTATATTGATACTTTTTCCAAACCCTCAACAACGCATTTCTAAGTATATGACCCTTAAACAGTGGACCCTTTATTCACTTTTTTTTCATATAACAGATAAGCATGCCATCCATATAACAAATCATAGCCTTCTATGTTTAACATTCTTTCTTCAGTTAAGTTAAACCAGTCGCTAATTTATGATAAAACAGCCGCTTCATAGTACAATCTTAAGTTAGGCATTTTAAGACCTCCTCTCTCACGTACATCCTGTATAATTTTCAGTTTCACTCTTGGTTTCTTCCCACCCCAGATAAAAGTATTAACCCCTTTCTGCCATTCCATCAAATTTCCGTCTTTCTTAAGCACTGGTATCATTTGAAACAAAAATAAGAACCTAGGTAAAACATTCATTTTTATTGCTGCTATCCTTCCCAGTAATGATAGTTGTAGCTTTTTCCAATTTTCCATTTCTTTCTGTAGTTTTTGCCAAAGAATTTCATAATTGTTTTTAAATAATTTCGTGTTTGAGGCTGCAATATATACTCCTAAATACTTAACCTTTTTAACTATTTCAAACCCCGTTATTCTCCCTAAATCTTCTCTTTGAGATATGGACATATTTTTAATTATCATCTTTGTCTTATGTTGATTTACTTTAAATCCAGATACCTTACCGTATTGACCTATTATGTCCAACATATATGGAGCCACTTCTATAGGTTGAGATAAAGTAACAACCAGGTCATCTGCAAACGCTCTTAATCTATAATCCTGCTGTCTAATTACAATTCCTTTTATTTTATCAGATTCACGTAACTTATTCAACAAAACTTCTAAAGTTAAGATAAACAACAATGGCGACAAGAGACAACCCTGCCTTGTACCTTTCTCAATTTTAAAGACTTCTGTTAGGCCTCCATTAATTATTATTTGTGCTGTTTGTTCCTGATATATTGCTCTAATTGAGTGTATAAAATACTCCCCAAAATTCATTTTTTCTATTATCTTAAACAAAAATTGCCAATTCAGTCGATCAAATGCTTTCTCTGCATCCAAAAATATGAACGCTGCAGGGACCTGGTTATTTTTTTCCAAATATTCCAATAAGTTTATAATTTGTCTAACATATTTCATTTGCCTCCCTTTTATGAAACCTGATTGATCATTATGAATTGTTTGTTGCATAACTGGCATTAATCTGTTCGCTAATATCTTAGCAAAAATTTTATAATCAGTGTTCAAAAGTGAAATTGGCCTAAAATTTTCAGGTTTGATACAATTTTGATCTTCCTTCGGAATCAGTGAAACAAAAGCTGTTCTCCAAGAGGGTGGAACTCCTCCCCCTAATTGAATTTTACAAAATAAAGCTCTAAGCGGTTCTACCATTTCAAACTGTAAATTCTTATAATAAACAGCTGTTAATCCATCTGTTCCCGGAGCTTTCCCTGTTTTTAACTGCTTAATTGCAGCAATGATCTCCTCAAAAGTTATTGGTTGATTCAATCCTTCCCTCTGTTCCAACGTTAATTCCGGAATATTCCCTTCCTTTAAGTATCTATCTATATCTACACCTTGTATTGAGTCACTAGCATATAACTTTGTATAAAATTCTTTAAAAGCCTATTTGATCATATTCTGTTGGTAAACTTCCTTATCTCTAAATTCTATTTTACCAATGACTCGTGATTTCTGTTTTTTCCTCAGCATGTAGGCCAACCACCTACCTGGTTTATTGGCATTACAAAATGTATTATGTTTAGCATATTGTAAGCTAGTTGCCACCTGATCAGCCATTAACATATTAAATTGCCCTCGTAATATATTTATTGTTTCTTTTACCTTTTTATCTCCTGGATTAAGTATAAGTAATTGTTCTTTCTTTTTTATTTCTTCCTCTATCTCTTTCCGCTTCTTTTGTTGTTTTAGTCTATGTTTATTATTCATATGTATTAACGTACCCCTCATATAAGCCTTACTAGCATCCCAAACCATTTCCATAGAGGTACCCTTGTTCATATTAATAGCAAAAAATTCTTTCATTTGTTTTTTAAGCTCTTTCACATTTTCTTCATATCTAAATAAATTTTCATTTAACCTCCAAGACCTCCTTTCTCCCCTCTCCTGTTCAAATTCCACCCAAACCGGACTATGATCAGTTAAAATTCTTGGACATATCTTCGTCTTCTTCACCCTAGAAATAAAATCATTTGTGGTTAGTATAAAATCAATCCTGGAGAAGGATTGATGTCTATCAGAAAAGAAAGTGAAGTCTCTTTCCTCCACATTGCGTTCTCTCCAAATATCTCTCAGTTCTATATCTTCCATCATATCAAAAAAAGATTTAGGTAATTTTGCACATGTTGAAATCTTTGATAAGCTTTTTTTATCTTTCTGTGTGTCTATTACTCCATTCCAGTCACCCATTAATATAAAAGATTTATAATCCCATTGTATTATTTCAGTGTGTAAAAATTTATAAAACTTGTCTTGTTGCTGATTAGGGGCATATATTCCAATTAAAAGCATTTTTCCAGTCTGTGTTAATAATTCAATTGCAATATATCTTCCTTGATCATCTGCCTCGATTAAATTAGCTGATAATCCTTTCTTTACATATATAACTAACCCATTTTTCTTCTCTGGCGCTGATGCCACAAAGTGTATACCTAATCTTGAATTTATCAAATATTTTTGGTCTAATAACCTAATATGTGTTTCTTGCAGACAAATAACATCATTGTTAAATTGTTTCAAGTAATGAAATACTTTCTTTCTTTTTTGTGGTGAATTTAGGCCATTAACATTCCAAGATAGAAATTTAGTTGCCATCTTTAGCTTTTCGAAGCCGCATGAGCATCAGCTGAAGCTCCTCCTCCACCTTACTCTTCAGCCTAGCCCCCCCCCACTGCTTCTATTTTCTGAACTTCTTGAGATAGATCTTGAGATTGTTGCATTTTTAACTGTTGTTCTTGAAGTTTATAAGTTGATCGGGTCAGTCGTTGTACTTTCGGCTCTCCCTTCTTAGATGGTTCCAGAGTTGGGGGTAAGCCCCCAAGATCCAGATCTTCTTCCATGATGATTCCTCCAGCTGCAACTTCAGCATAAATTTGTATCTGCTTTCCATCTTTTTCTTGTTGTATCATCTCCATTTTCTTTCTGCCTCCCCCCACCCCCCCGGTGAGGGTGGGTATCCAGCCTTTAAAACATTGACATAGAAATCTTTTGCCTTCCAAACTGTGTTTAACCGGTATCTTTCTCCACTATAAATCACTATTAGACCAGTTGGAACGTCCCATCTGTATGCCACTTGTTGATTTCTCAGCTCATTTACCAAAAAGCCAAAGTCCTTTCTACTTCTCAACATCTTTGGAGGGATCTCTTTCAAAACCACCACTTCTTGCCCAGCCACCTGTACCTTATTCTTGTAGGAAGCTTGTAAAATATTATCTCTGATCCTCCTGGTTGTAAAATAAATCACCACATCTCTTGGCAGCTGTCTTTGTCTTGCCAGCCAGGAGTTAACCCTGTAGATTTTATCAATTCGGGTTGCCACATCTTCTGGTCTTTTTTTAATTATCTCTGCAATAGCATCAGCACAAATATCCTTTAAATTTTCTTTGCCGTTTTCTTTCAGGCCTCTCAATCTCAAAGCAAATTCCATGGACCTGTATTGTAACATTACCAATTCATCATCCACTTTCTCTATTTTGGTCATGACATCTCCCATTTTGCTTTCCAAATTTAAATTGGCTTCATTAATTTCTTCCACTTTCTCATCCAGCTGAATAACAAGTTTTGACAATCCTGATACTGCATAAACAATATCATCTCTTATTTCATCGTGTTTTATTGCAAACACTTCTTTAATTAACTTTATATCCTCCTCAACTTTCTTTAATTTCCCTTCCACAAGTACTGTTAAGTTATTCATTGCTGTGGCTTGATTATTCATGGCTTCTTTCATTGCTGTTGCTTGATTATTCATGGCTTCTTTCATAAATTCTTTGAAATCATTAAGAGCAGCCTCCTGACTCTGTGAATCAGCCGGAAGTTGTGCTTTCTGTGTCACCACTGACACAACTGGAGAACCTCCCCCTCCTTTAACAACTCCTGGCTTAACTTGTTTAGAAGCCATCTTTTTTTTTCCTTTTTAAAAAGATCTTTTTTTTTTCAAAGCCACAAAGTCCCTTGAACAACTTTAAAATGCTTGTAATTTATAGTCTCTAATTTATCAGGCAAAATAGTCTTTTCTCCACAAGTTCTCACTTCCCAGCAGCTTTAATCCACTCTTACAATGCAAAGTTCTCAATAAGCACTTTCGTTTCTGACTTTCACTTTCAAAACCATAACAAAGACGCCATCTTCAGCCTCCAGCTCAAAGAAATTCAGTTTGAAACAAAGTAAATCCGGAGTTAAGCTCTGTTACTTTTAAGGCTTGTTCTCCTGTTTCCGCTCTGCCTGCACTTGTAATCAATCAGACTCACTTTTTAACAGCAGGACCAGACGCGGCTTCTAGATCTGCTTACACAGAGTTGTCCCGGATTCAGAGCTTCTTGGCGGGCTGACTGGGGAGCTCTCACCCTCCAGGCTGACTTTCAGGGAGCTCTACTCTCACCCACCGGCTCTCCTCTCCTTCTTTTCCCGAAGGGGAGGTTTTTCAGCCGCCAGACAGCCGATTTGCGCTGTAAAAGCAGCTTTTACGAAGTCATGAGGCTGGCGGTCTAAGGAGACCGTCCACGAAGCCTGCGGTGCCGACCGGAAGTCCCAGCTTCACCAATTCTTGAAATAGCACTCACTAGCTTCCTCGTAGGAATAACAATGGAAAGTTTTTGTTGATCAGCTTTCTCATCTGATTTTTCACTTTTTTTTAAAGGTACATTCGTGTCTGTTTATTTGTGTCTCAGATTGCCTGTCCTTTCCTCCAAACCCACCATCTGTTGCTCATATTCATGTGATGACTACCTTTGGCTTCTATGTTTTTTCCCAGTGGGACATGATGCACTCATTCATACAATAGAAGCCAAATTATCACAATGTGCTAAACCATTTAGTTTTGTTTGGGGACAGAAACATAGACAGAAACCCTAACCCTAACCCTATCATCAGACTCCTGGCCATAAACATTTCTCCCATTTGGTAAACTACAATCAATCTCCTCCTACAAAGCAGCTGAGAAGTTCTGGGACTGATCCTAAATGCATTCTACTATGCTATTGTCCCACAGACAATGTGATGGATTTGAAGCCTGGCCTTTTGAGTCCCTTGCAATCTCCAAGAAGAAGCAACCGATGGAACAGATCACATTTCAGACTAGCAGTATAACCAAACTGAATAGGCTTTCTGAACATCAAATCTACTAAGTGAGTATTGTCAGATGAGACTAAGAAAGTTCCACCAAGTTCAGCTTCCTTCACCCAGATTACTGTGGAAAGCTCCTAGGTAGCTCTCCTGTCCCCCTCCATTAGCAACTGCTCTATAGAAACAATGCATCTCTAAGCTCATTGCTTCTTCATTGCTACTCTGGTCAGAGGCCACTTGCAGATAGACCCGGTTATTATTTTAATTCTCTTTCCTACAAACATTTTTTCAATACATCTTTATTACAGATCCTTTAGTTGTCTTATTATAACACAATAATATGAAATAAACATCTATAAGTATCACCAAAAAACAATGCAAAAACATGCAAAAACAAGGAAATGTTTGATATAAATCAAAGCTGATCAAATACAGTAAGACTTAGGAAACTTAACTAGCCAAGAAGTATTTAGTACCCCTCCCTCCCTATAAAGACTGAATCAATTACTTACACCACTGAACCTGGAATTCAAAGAAAGAAATTCTTGATACTTGGCATATCGACTGAAACGTGCAAAATTGACCAATAGCCACGAGGTGCTGTTGAGGTCCTTTGTGCAAGCTGATCCTGCAATTAAACAGTTGGCAATAAGATTAGGTTATAAAGATGCTCTAAAAGAACTAGGATGGTGTGGAAGTACAAAGTCTTGCATTTTAAAGATCCCTGCACCCACTTCAAATCTCCAATTTAATATTTTCTTTTCTTTCTCTGTCCCTATTCTCTTCTCCTGAATTTTATTTTTCCCTTTTTATTATATTTTCATAAATCTTGAGATGTTGTACTGTTTTAATATGGTGATGTTTATAAGATAGGATTAGTAATTATTAACATTCTATTATTAAGATAGCTTAATGTGCTTCCCCTTCATGGATTACTGCCTTGTCATGGCGAAGGGGCTCACATAGCTCAATGAAGCTATGAGCTATGCTGTGCAGGGCCACCCAAGACGGACAGGTCATAGCAGATAACTCTGACAAAATGTGATCCACTGGAGAAGGAGCTTAACAGAAAAAATGTCAATATTGATTATAACTTGGAATGATAATATTACAAACATAAAATTATTTGAGTTTTTTTTTTCATCCAAACGTAAACATAACATTAACAAAAGTCACATCAAAGTACTAGTAAGTACTGCAAGACACATCAAAGTACTAGTTATATGATAATGGTTTCAATCTTAAACTTGCAACTTAAATTGTCCACTTTACTGTTAGTATATATTAAAAGTGGGGGGGGGAGAGATAAAGGAAGCAAATTTAACAAAAGTTAAAATACCTAAAAGGCAAAAAAATATTTCCGAACGCATCAGAATTTCAATTACCCCAAGTCAAAATAGATTACTGAGGATGGGATTCCATTTGCAGTCCAGGACATTTAGAGGGGGTGAAGTTGTGGGGGGGGGGGGGCATTCATTTCATGGAATATTTAAATAACAATGGCTGGGTTTGCATCAGCTGTGATTTGGCAGTTTGTGGCTTAGTGAGTTGTGTGAACTCACAATTTCCTTAGTGCACATGATATGAATGGGTCTAGCTAAGCTGATTTAAACATTTTGAGTAATCCAGCCAGCGTATGGAAAGAGGAGACTAAAACATATGATGAACGGTTGAGGAACTGGGCCTGGCTGGTCTAGTGAAGAGAAGGACCAGGGGAGACATGATAGCAATATTCCAATATTTGAGGGGCTGCCAAAGAGAGGAGGGGTCAAGCTATCTTCCAAGGCGCCCGAAGGCCAGACAAGGAATAATGGATGGAAATTGATCAAGAAGAGATTCAACCTGGAAATACGGAAGAATTTTCTGACAGTGAGAACAATCAACTAGTGGAACAGAAGTTTATTTATTTATTTATTTATTAAATTTATATCCCGCCCTTCTCCCCGAAGGGACTCAGGGCGGTGAACAGCAGAGAATTAAAATAACATGCAATATAAAAGTTAAAATAACTAAAAATAAATTAAATTAAATGGCCGCCCCAATTTAAAACCCCTAGCAATACAATTAAAAACCCCTAAAACCTATTCAGGCCAGGCCGGCTTGCTGAAATAAAAACGTCTTCAGGGCCTTACGGAAAGTGCGGAGATTCGGAATCAGCCGTATTCCGGGAAGTAGCTCGTTCCAGAGGGCGGGTGCTCCCACAGAGAAGGCCCTCCCCCTGGAGGCCGCCAGCCGACATTGCTTGACCGACGGCACCCTGAGGAGGCCCTCTCTGTGAGAGCGTATTGGCTGGTGGGAAGTTGCCTTCAGAAGTTGTGGGAACTTCATCACTACAAGCTTTCAAGAAGAGACTTGACTGCCATCTGTCAGAAATGATGTGGGGTCTCCTACTTAGGAGGGGGTTGGACCTACAAGGTCCCTTCCAACTCTGTTAATTTGTTAACTAGGAACCTGGATTGTCATGCTCATTCTACGTGGGCAAAATGAGGTCGGTGAAATCAAGATGGTATTGCTGAAGCCCCACTCATAAAAGGGGTGGAGTTTCATTACATTGTCCCCCCTGCCCCACCCCAGGTGCTCTGGATGACCAATCAGCACAAGGACTGAGGGTTCCCTGTACTCCATGGGGTCTAACTCTGTGGGAAGAGGAGGGGAAACATGGATTCCCACCAAATTAGAGCTAATATTGAATGAAAGGAGTGACCTTCACATCAGACTTTATGTTGTAAGCCATCCAGAGTCACTGAATACAAGATGGGAGGCAAGCAAATTTTATAATTAAATAAATAGTAAATAAATAAGAGTTATTGCAAGCATTCTAGAGGTCCTGGGAATATTGTTTTATCATTGTATATCCTGATTGTTTCATCTTTTTACTTAGAACTCCTGGGGAATTAGTTTCCCACCCCCCAACCAGGAGTAGGAAAATAAAGGCCCTAGATTAACTTGCAATTGCCCAACATTTGGCCCAGCCCAGTGACTACACTGCAGTGTACTTCAGATCAGCCACCAAGAGACCACACCCTGATATATAACCATTGTTCTCTTACCACTAGCATTCAATCCCCTTAAATAAGGAAGTTGGAACGAGTGGAAAACTTCATATTGGATGTGATGATTCATCTTCATAAATTCTGCATCTAATCCTTTAACACTGAAAAACAGAAGTGTGGTTCGGAAAAGAGAAGAGATAGATAGAAAAATGAAGACCAGGATAAAGAGGAAGGAAGAAAAATATTCTGAAGAAAAGTTAAATATTTACTGTTTTATAGGACTAGCATACTCCAATCTGGAGTCCTTCAGATGTCATCTGTGGCTTTTTCCCAACTTGATGCAGCCATGTTGGCTGGGAATTCTAGCAACTGCACTCCCAAAATATCCAGAGGGCACCAGCTTGGAGAAGCTTGAGCTATGGTGTCCACCTTACTTCTAAAGAACAATGCCTAACCATTTCAAATAAAACTCTTGTTAGACAGGCTTGATAGGAAGAGATAGAAAGATCTCTTAAATATGTTCTGGAGAACACCACAAAAATATTCAGCACAGACTGCAGCCTTGCTTCATGACCTTGAGTGAGGGTTTCAGATATGTGAATTCCAATTCTCAGAAATCCCCAACAAGTATAGTAATATCTTAGGAGCTAAAGTACAGATAACTAGAAATTCTCAAAATTAAGAAACTCTTTACTAAGTGGATAAAATAGACAGATATACACATGGTCTGAACCAATGCAAGTTATTGTTGAAAACTACTGCACCCACATATGTAATTCAACACAGTCTTTGTAGAGTTAGAAAGTTAATGTTGGAGCTAAAATGAAACATTTGCATATAAATTTTTCTATACACCTAATATTCAGACAGCTATTTGCTGGCCATAGGAAAATCAAAATTTCAAAATAATTGAAGTTTGAGAATTGACAATATTTTTCTCCGGTAGACATGCTAGCAGGTGTTATGCAATCCTGGGGATAACTGAACAGTCATAACTGAAGAAAAGATTAATAGTCCCACTACATACATTGCCTGGTATTGCTCACACTGCATGGACTCATTGTGAAGACACTGGAGCATCTCTGGTGAAATTCCTGAGATAAAAGGGCGAAGTCTTTTCTGGAACCAGGACATCACAAAGGCAGTCTTGTTGAAGTGATCTTCGTTTCTTAGCTTCTCATCCCACAAAGCCTGCATTATGGCAGTTTTCGCTTGATTGGAAATTAGGGAAGAGTTCACAATCTGGGGAGGAGATATGAGAGTTGCAGAGAAATTGCATCCTAAGGAAAAGAGTTTTATAATGAACTCAGAGTACATTGAGAATAGTTGGAAGTCGAGGAGGCCTTCCATTCATGACCGAAGTGGCTTGAGGCAACCAAAAGTCTGCCAGCACTTCTTGCCAAGCCAGTTCTGTCTCACTCAGGGGCCGGGGGTGTGAAACGCATCTAATGTGAAACAACTTCAGGAAAGCAACTGCTAGGGGATCCTTGTGTCACCCACCAGGAAAAAAAGTCCCTGGCAACTGTTCTCCTTGAGAGGAGACAAAATAGCAGATGTACACCACACGGATGTGCCTCCCAGAAGGTGCCCACAGATCAAGTGCAGTAGTTCACCTATGAGTGGGGCATTGCCCAGTTAACCTGCCTAACTACCTGTTAACTGTTACCTGTTACCTATTGGCTAAAGAACCTCATCTTATTCCCACTTTTGGAAGACCACTGGGCAAATTGTCATAAAGACTGTCAGAGAAGCAGGAAGGCAATTCTTTAGTCATAAGTTCTCTAAATTCTCCCCACATCACAGCAGTCTCCAAAAAGCGTGCCTACCGTCCCTGTCCTAATGTTCCCTTTTATTGTATTCATTTTATGTATTCAATTCATGCTTATACTTATATATATTATCTAATATGTATTTGACAAAATAAATAAATAAATAAAAATAAATAAAGAGGTGACATGAGGGGGAAGCATGATAAATGGGGGGAGGGGTGTAATTAAATTAACACCTCCTTTCACCTTTTCCTTCTCAATTTTCCCAAAACCTGAAAAACAAGAGGCAGTCATGGGGTTCGCAATTTGGCAATTGGAATAGGCAGGTGTGTAGCCCAAATTGTGAGAGGCTGTAGAAGCCTGGGACCAGGAGCTTGGCTTATGTGAGAAGCAGCAGCACAGTCATGGGCCCTTCATCTGCCCCTTGCTGTAGATACATGGGACTGTCTACCCCGGAGGTCAGCAGCCCCAACTGAAATATCCCACTGGGAATATCAGAGGGTGAAGAATAAACCTTGTAAAGATGAAGTCAATAAAAAAACCACCCTCCCAAGCGTTCTGGACCTCCCAGATATGTTGGAGGAAAACTTCTCTTAGACCCAGGCCACATGAGCTATTTGTAGAAGGCTGCCCTCACTTCCATGAAGCACAGGGAGCTTTATCGGTTCCTTACCCATCATTCATCAGTAAACTCACAACCTGCTTCCCTAACAGCAGAGTGTGAGCTATTGCTCAGTGTCAAGAAACAAGGAGGTAGGATACAGAATCTTGGGAATGGAATACGCAAAACTCCCGCTCTCGTTTATGAGTGAATTCAGCAAGGCTCTGGAAGTTGCCTGAACTCCCTTTCTCTGATTGCAGAGCTAAAGGACTTTTCCCAAATAAGCCTTATAATGAAACATGACTCTGCTTTACATTTGCAGTTTTGAGATAGTCCATTTCTTTTCTTACACCACAGAAAATTAAGTTTTCGCTTAATTACTTAATTCTTTTTGTATTATTTTGGTTGAGATTTATGTGAACTGTAATCCAACGCTATCCGGAGGGTATCAAGCTTATCAGTCAACTTAGAATTTAACCAAACAGTCCCTCCATATATTAGATGCTTACAAACCAGGGGTGAAATCTGACCAGTTCGGGTGAACCAGTACCAGACATTTGGCCTGGGTCGCCGAACCGGTAGAGACCGCTGGCTGGCCACGCCCCCGAACCGGTCGCCTTGTCACCACTCACTCACCCTGCCCCGCCCAGTCTCTGCTCTGCAGCTTGCCTGCCTGAAGCACTGTACCCCAACTGAGCGGCCCTGATCTGCCTGCCAGGTAAGCCTGCAAGTCGCGGCCTAGCTAGCTGCCCCTGCCCCCCACCCTGTCCCAGCCTGCCTCTTGTACTCCCTTCCCCGCGGCCCACAGCCCTGCCATGCTTCCCTACCTTCTATGCAGCCTTCCCAGAGGTCCCTGTGGCCAGGCCCGCTTGCAAAGGCCTCCCCTACTCCGTTTCCAATGGCCCACAGCCCCAACATGCTTGCCTGCCTTCCATGCGGCCTTCTTGGCATCCCCATGGCCAGCTTGAGAAGGCAGGCAAGCGGGCCTGGCCTGGGCATGGAGCGCCCCCGTGTGCTTTCTGGGTCAGCAGCTGCTTCTCTCCCCTGCTGGGAATGGGAAAGCGTCTTTCGCAGCACAGTGAAATTTAGCTTTGGGTCCGACTTCACTCCCATTGGGAAAGTGCTCTGCCACCCGCAGTGTTTTCCGGACTGGGAGGACCCAAAATGGCAACTCCTTGCTATGTGCTTTCCCAGGGCCCCAAGGGCCTCCCTCCTGGAGCATCGCTGCCACCGCTGATGCCACCTGCTGCAAAAGCTGCACAGGAAACCTCCCTGGGAGTTCCAGGATACAGCGCTGTCGCCCCTGCCACCGCTGATGCCAGCCACTGCAAAAGCCATGCAGGAAAACTCCCCGGGAGTTCCAGGATGCTGCGCCAACGCCACTATTGCCACTGCTTTGGAATTCTCCTTCTGCCGCCACTGCTGTGGCTGGAGCTCGCCACTAGGATCAGTATCAGTAAGTTCTTGCTTCACTCCCTGGGAAGGGCTCCGTCATGGAGGGCTGTGTGCCCAGCCCAAGTGCTTTCTCTCGGGCCTCCCATCTCACATGTCTTGGGTGGTCTCACTCTCCTAGCCTTTGAAGGAGGAAGGGAAGGGAGAGGAGAGAAAGAGAGAAAAAGAGAGAGAGAGAAAAGAAAGAGAAAGGAGAGAAAGGAAAGAAGGAAGGAAGGAAGAAAGAAAGACAAGAAAGAAAAAGAGACAAAGAAAGTGAGAAAGAAAAAGGAAGACAAAGAGACAAAGAAAGAGAAAAAAAGAAAGAAAAAGAAAGAGAAAAAAAGAGGAAGGAAGGAAGGGAGAGAGAGAGAAAGAAAGAAAGAAGAGGAAGGAAGCACCACAAACCCTGGCACTAGACGTGGCTTCAGAAGACGCTTTGAAACAGCAAAGCAATCTAGGGCTGGAAGGGCTCCTGGAGGTCATCTAGTCCAACCCCCTACTGCAGCAGGAAACCTTACATCATCTGGATTATTTTGGTGCCTCTAACAGAGAGGAAAATTGCCAGAAAGGAGAAGGAGTTTACTAGGACAAGGCTGCCATGCAGAGGAAGGCAGAGATTAGTCCTTGATTTATGACAATTGAGCCCAAAATTTTGGTTGCTAAGCAAGAGCGTTGTTCAGTGAGTTTCACCACATTTTACTCAATCGATGACATCTCCTGGCTCTAACAGTGAGTAACGTAAGTGATGTCAAGTTGTCCACGCCTGTCCGGTCACATGACCACCAAGCCACGCCCACAGAGCCGGTAGGGAAAATTTTTGGATTTCACCCCAGCTACAAATGGTAGTCCTATCTTCCCATTCCCTTCCCCTTTTTGTGCCTTCAAGTCAGTAATGGCTCCTGGCAACTGTCTGGATCCCCCTGCAGTTTTCTTTGGAGCGTGCTTTGCCATGGCTTTCTTCATGCCACTGAGAGCATTTCTGGCCTCGTCCCTAAAATGGGACTGGAGCTCAAAGGTCTCCAAGGTTCTAGCCACAGCCCAAACTGGCTCTCACCTATCACACCATAAGCAATAATCACATATTGTGTGAATGCAGGCATTGTATCTTTACTTGAAGTAGTGATGAACATAGAGCAAGAGTACTTTCTTCTTTAAGGGGGGGTGGGGGTGTTACCTTTTCATTAAATTCCTCCAGGGCATTGATCAGCTCTTCCCCATTCACTTGATTTAGAAGGACTCTGACTATATTGAGTGGAAGGTCATATTTTTTCCTCAGGGTGAATTCCAAAGCTTGAATTATAAAGGTACTGTTAACGTGACTGAGATTCTGAAGCTAGGGAGAGAGGATTTAAAAAGTATTAGTTTTGGTGTCCAAAAGCAGTTTGAAAATGACACAGTAACAGCAAACTGGCAGGGAATTAGACACTAAAGCCAACTTTTTAATCTAGCTGCCTGTCAAGATATTGATGGATGTCCTTTTCATTTTCTGAAATCTTCATGAATGAAATTGGACAGACTTTCTCCTAAAACAGGAGGGGTCCCCAACTCTGGGGCCACAGCCTGTTGGAAACCAGGCAACAGGAGAAATGGGCAAGCACGTGCACATGAAACTCCACCCGCGCAAGTGGCGGGGGCTTCTGCTCACAAAGTTCCATTTGCGCGAATGGAGCTTTGTGCATGAGCCCAAGCCCCCTCTCAAGCCCCCTCTGCTCGCGTTCAAGTGCCCACCTCTCGTGCAAATGCCACAGTTGTGCATCCACATGTGCGCCTGCCACTCACACGAACACACACACATACACAGGCCCACCAAGCTGGAAAGGTTGGGGACCGCTATCCTAAAGGAATCCCTCTAGCCAATGATGCGATAATTCTATTTTTATTTCTTTAACAAGGATGGCTTGGTTTGATTTTAGCCAGTAGTTGTGTACAGGGTTGACATCTTCATCTTGCAGTGCACATGAAAAAGGCACAGAATTTTGACTGTATAGTAATGAGTGCCATCTTGACTTTTTTAAGCCATCCACCCCAAAATCACCAAGGTAGTGAGGAAATATCAAACTCGAAACAAGTAGACTCCTTATGACTTGTGTTTGAGGCACCCTCTTCTAAATCTGTACTCTGCATAGTCCAGTTTTCCTCAAGTGCCATCACCCCCAAGACCAGGGTTTCTAATAGTGGGCACTGGAGAAGGAGTTGGGCTGGCCAAGTCTGGCCTGACCTCTTCTAGCTGATGAAAGACCAGCAAAGCCTTCCTCCAGCAGCACCCTTCTAGCCCTGGATCAAGGATCTGGCAAATCCTGAAAGAGGTTCTTGAAGGCACAACACTCTTGTGAACTGAGCACACAAGCAGCATTCTCATTAAAATCCTGGACCAGTCTCATCTTAATCTACTTAATCTAAACAGGCTCTAAGGCAAGCACATGGAGAACTTACATTGTCACAAACGAGGTGAGTAAGGTTGGCAGATACTTTGACATCAATTCTGTAAGAAAAGCGGAAAAAAGACGGGCATAGAAGGACAATGCCAGAAAAGGCTCCCAAGAATGTGGCGAAGGCCATCCTAATTCCACACATTCAATAAGGCTGGCCCATTTTTGCAGCAACTGACATGGTATATGACCCACCCACAGCCTTAAAAAAAAACCCACCCTGCCAAAAATGTTAATATTTTCCAAAGAATTTTCAAGTTTTGGTGGGGTTTTTTCCATTACTAACTTTGTGTTATCTGATTATTCCTTATTGGATTAGAAAAAAATATCCTCCCTTTCCATTTTTAAACTCCTTTCGGATGCAATCTGAGTTTCCTTTGCAGTTTCAGAGCTTTTCCACAATTATGTCTTCCTTTATTCTATGGCTGTTGACAGGTTTTGTTATCAACAGAAAGGAAGATATGGGGCAGAAAGATGTTCAAATGTTCCCTAATATAATGTAGCTCCCTCCAGAAGCAATTGGGAGTACAGTCCCACAGTTACAGGATTGCAGAACACGGATATATCTCATCCTTCATTTTAGCTCTTTCACTTGTAAAAAATCCACTCAAAAATATTGTCTTCCTTGCACCTAACCACTTGCTTCCCTACTATACTTCATTCTGCAAACTGCCATATTATGTAGTAGCTTGAGTTCCCAACTGTTCCTCATGTGATCTATAGAAATCAAGAAACAAATTTTTTTTGGCACTATGGCAATAAACAGTGACATTTTTGCAGATTAAAATATTGTTCAAAGCTCAAGAACAAAGATTTGTAAAATAGAATGTTAGTCCTGAGTGTGGACAAGGAACTACCCTTTTACGCTAATTCCACTTTTGTTCAGAATCTTCCCAGCATCAGGAATTTGTTAATTGGTTTATAAAAATACCTCTCTACATCTTCACAAACTTCAGAAACTGCAAAAATAAAAGTAAGAACAAAGAAAAAATTAGCAGGCTTCTCCCCCAAAAGGGATTCTTGTTAGGAAAATGCCAAACCCCAAGCATTGCAATATAGCACGTACCATTAATCCTGGCAGCGGGACACTAAAACAAAGAAAAGTACAAAAGTGCAATTAATGTTGGATCCTTCAAATATCAGTGAATTCACAATCGTGGTGGAAGTGTTTATTGCAAACTGTGATAATCATGAACCTTTAACTTTTAAAAACTAATTTAATCTTTATTTCTTCAGATTCATAACATTATCATAAAGCTAATACAAGTCTTTACAACTGGCAGGGAGACTATTTATAAACATAGGAGCCTTGCTTTAAAATGTTTGGCATCCATTCTCTACCATTTCTCTCCTTGTTGAGCTGTTTCTCCTTTTGTGAATCACACCCCTGCCAGGAATCTGTAGTTAAGTGTCAGGCAGCTAAGTTAATTTTTGACATTTTTTTTCTTTAAGAGAATTACAAAGTAACTCAAAATCTGAAGCCCCACAACTGTGGAAGGATATGTACTACAGTATACAACAAATGGGTGAAAACCTCTGTTCCTGATCATTTTGTGACAGCTTCTTTCCCAGGACACCCAGAGGAGGAGATTAAAATCTGCAAGGAGTTGCATGCAAAAGACCAATCGCAATGCCCAGTCCACTATCTTGCAAATTTTGACAAGAGCAGGACAGCACCTTCAGTGTGTCAAGAAACAAGCAACTTACCGATGCACCTTCCACTCTGGCTACGAAGAAGGCTGCAAAACAAGAGGGAGGCCATTAGAAAGGGCCTTTGGCTTTTCCCAGTCAGACCACTTGGCCCCAATTCATCATTCCTCCAATTAGGAAGAGCTTTCAAGTGGACACGCAGACTCGCATCCTTGTGCCCAGACATGTCAGAAAATAAAAATGAGCTCCCCTGCTTCTACCTGTGAACTGCACACTTCTCCCCAAATAGGTGCGCCTGAACACGGAGGAAATCAACTTATGATTTCTTCCTTCTATTTGCCAGCATTCTTTTGCTTCTCTGTGTTGTACCGAGTGGAGGAGATTGGGGGAAGGAGAGGGGGATCAGCTTTTTTTTGGTTTAAATGTATAAGAAATTTCCAGGAAATGCTGTATTCCATTCAACAGTGAAAACTGACGAAGTATACACAAGCAAACTGCTCCTCTGCAGACTCTGAAGCTTTGCAAGGAAGACGGATTCAAAGGGCCTCACAGATCTGAGCTTGGCAGAGATTTCTGTGGCATAGCCCCAGCCATGGGGACAGAAGGGGCTCAACTCAGCCCTGGAGCTTCCAGTCAAAGAGTCAGGCCATCCCCAACACAAATGAGGACTTCAAGAGACAAAACTCGTGCCCTCCAGTTAGAAGGCTGGGTTACTGAGATTGCCAATCTTAGCACAACTATAGGGATCTACATTAGGGAAAGCTGATGAAAAATTCTTTGAATAAATATCCAGAAGAGAAAGTCTAAATGGAATCAAAAATCCAACAAGAAACAATGGAGTTCTGAATATTGAAATCATTTTGTCATTAGCCTAAGAACTGCCTTAAATTTAAATTTAAAAGCTGCAGTGAGGAGAACATTTGGGGAAAACATAAACAGTTGGCCTGGGGCCCAATGCAGGAGCATCAGGTGATTAACAAGAGATCCCCCCTCCCTTCCACCCTGCCCCCCCTCCCCATCTGTAATTGGATTGTAGCACTTGTTGGTTTTGTTTTTAGTGTGTATGTGTGTCTATTTAGGTCTCCCACCTAGCAGTGAGAGCTTGCTAGGTGTTAGAAAAGAAAAAAGCCCAGAACCGAGTAGATGAGATTCTACTGAGCTGGAGCTACAAAAAAACCTTGGCTACGTAGGGAAAACCTGGCTAGAAGAAAAACATATATATATATATATATATATATCTTTTGATTTCAATATCTTGATATCTTTTGATACAATCAAAAGATATATATATATCTTTTGATTGTAAGCCACCCAGAGTAACCTTGTAGGAAGATGGGTGCCCAATACATGTCATAAATAAATAATAAATAATCTATAGAAGGGAAGATGCCATAACTTTTGTAATTGAGCTGTTTTGGCGAAAGGTGGCCACAACCTTACTGGAAAGGAGTTAGTGTAGACGCCCATGGGGGGAAAATAGCACTGACATACCTATATAGAGTACAAAAGCTGTAAACAGGAATGAAGGCTGACACACCTGTGCCATGGTGGGTCTCATCCTGGCACTGTAAAAAGAAAACAGCCACCAGTTGTGCAATTTAAAGTTTCTTAAAATGCATCTCAAAGGTTTCGAAGGAAAAGGTTGCAAACATTGTTGCAGCTTGACGTGTTTTACCCTCCCCGTGAACGACCCCCTTACAAAGCAGCATGCTGGTCGAGCAACCTCATCCATGTATCCATTCATGCTTTGGGAGAGGTCATGCTCAGTAATCATTTCACAAGAGAGCGCTCTCAAAAGCCCAGGCATATAGACTGGCTGGCAAAGTTAGGGTTCCTAATTTGCTCAAGGCAATATAGGAAGGTGAAGCCAACAGGACATCAAAACAGAGAGCAAGCAGAAATCCATTTTTAATAGCTTTTTTTTAGAAAAGCAAACTGGACGAATACATTCACTTCCTGATCCTTTGCCTCTGGTTTAAACAATAAAATGTATAACCAGGATCCACAGGTGGCCCAAATTCACACACCCTGGGGCAAAAATTTCTAGAGGCAAATGTTAAGTTTTGGAAATTTCCTCGAAGAATATGGTAAAAATGAGGAATGCCAATAATGGATTGCCAAAACTAAGTGGACCATTTGAAAATTCCAAACATTTCACAATCCAGGTTTTACTATTCTGACTTCATGTCTTAACTATTTTTTTCCCAGTTCCCATATTTCAGAGTTATTATAATGCAATTGTTACCTCGCAATGCTCTATTGTGCTTTGAATTATTTGATAAAAACAAGATACCTCTCCAAATGTACACAAGGAAAGAAAAAATTGGGAAACAGAGAACGGGTAAAGGGAAATTATAGCACTGTAAACAGTAAATACAGTCAATGGATCCTTGTAGATAAAGGTTCACCCACCTCTATTCAGGAGTTGACGTCCTCGTGATGTACGTTAAAGAACAAGTTTTTGCTGGATTATCCTGATCTTATCCCTTGAAGGTGGGAGACGTCAGAAAGAAAGAGGCGTGACAGGTATCAGATTTCCACAGTTGCTTCAGAAGACGACTAAATTATGGTTGGAGGATGACCATAAGCCCTCTTTTGAATACTCAGGCAATCTCCGCATATTAGTGGAAGCCATGTCAAAATAGACATCTTTCGTTTAAAGGCACAACTCCCAATCAACGTATTTATGCTTATTTATCAGTGGTTCCAAAATCCATCATTTGGAACATGGAGTTTCTCACATTTTGAAAAGGAAATGATGAAATGATGAAATTCAAATGTCACACCTATCATATATTAGTCAGATGGTCCAAGTCAATAGAGGTGAACATGCTATATAGTTTGGGGATACCAAAGCAAGCTTTGGATTGCAAAATTCTCTTCTGCCTTTTGGAATGAAAAGGACATTGGGGCATTGAATGGACCTTTGCTCCCTTTTGAAGTTGTAGTGTTAATAAAGTCAAGTTCCTTATGAAGAGAACTGTAAATTTTGTGAAGTTTTGTGAAGTTTTGTTCAAAAAGCAATCCAAATGTAATTTGTACTGATATCTAGTTTACCCTCCAGTGATTTAGACAAAGACCCAGCAAGAATATATCAGGCATTGCTTTGTAGGTGTCATCAATTTCAAAGGTTTCTTGGGATTCAACTGTTCTGAAGCCAACCTTTACGATACTTAAGAGCAAAATTCTGTGGAGATTTTGGCAAACGCCAGTTAAAACAGAGGCCAAGAGAAGCAGGAATATCAATCTTCTTAAGTTCCTAACAATTTGCAGTAATATTTTAGAAGAGAAGGATTAGATGCAATGCCTGTTCCTGTAAATTAGAAAAAATCTCCCTTAACTTAATAGGGTTGGTGATTCTTGTGTTTTTTTTGGGGGGGGCAGGGGAAGCATTAGCAAAGAGATACTGCACCATTTTACTGCTTGTCCCAATTGTTTGTCTATACCTGCAAACAGGTAAAACTATCTTAAAACTTGCTAACCCTTTGACGTCTGCATTCTCTTTGCTTGACTTTCATCTACTTACTGATAATAAAGATATTCAACAGTTTCAGAGCAGGTTGGCCTGGTTTATCTTGGCTTCAGGGAATTCCAGCCTGGCCAGTATGTCCTCATTCTTGGACAGCCCCTCCTAGAATGCCCTGCCATTCTCTGGATCATGTTGGCTTCTCTTTGCAGAAGATTAGCTAACACTGCTTACAAGTGGCCTCAATTTTCTTGAATTTTTCTGTAAAGCAGTAGGGAAATCTATTTACTTGATCATCTATATTACCATACTGGAAGCAAAAGAAAAGAAAAAAAGAACAATTGATTGAATGAAACTGATTCCAAATATGGATTCTGACGTGTAGGAAATGTCATGAAGCTAACTAGGTGGGAACTGATGCAAGAGGCATCTATCTTTAGATCCTACGCACATTGCAAATATCCAGAACATGAAGTAAAGGTGTTAAGAACATTTCCCATGTGCTGGAATGCACTGAACACCTGTGGGACTTACTTGGCTGTGGGCTACAGTTGCCCTGGGCCAAAACCTTTTGCTTCCTGCCTCAGATTTTTACTCCATCTCCAGATTGGGGCAAAGTTAGCGACTAACTTTAGCCCAACCCTGCCAGAAGACACAGGGAAGATAATAGATTGATTCATCACATTCCACTAAGCCTGTATGGAATTTATTTATTTCTCACATTTCTATCCTGCTGTAATAAGACAATAACAACCAAGTAGAACACCCATGGTACAACATTCATAGAAACAGTACAATACCCCCAAGATAAAAATGTAAGTTAAAAATGGCATAACAAAATCAGGGGGAAAGCTTTCAAAACTACTATGTCTTTAAAAAGTTTCTGAAAAAGGCTCTGATCTCCCAGGGGGCTGTTCAGCAGCATCAATGCACCTTCTTGTGGCAGTCTCCATCTGAAAGTGTGGGATCAATAGTAGTTTCTGTTTGACCTAACAGGCCTGCCCAATACTGGTGGGAGGAGGGGATCCTGAAGCAGAGTCATAATGGGCTTATAGGTGAGAAGCAGTTCCTTAAATTGTACCCAGGAACCAATCATCAGCCAAAAGTCCACAAATTATAGTAATGGGTTCCCAATGATCACACCATGGAGTTTTTCAGATGTTTATATATCACTTTTAATTTGAATATCATAACTGCCTGAAAGCTCAAAGCTTCTATCACCAGAAATTGACAGGGTTTTATTATCTTGTGAGATTCTGAATGATTTTTTTTTAAAAAAATTGGAGCGTAATGACATACTTGATGACATCATGGTTTCAAGACTATAAATGAAATAATCTCTGCTATAAACCTAAATCACCAGAAATCAACAGTAGTTTAAATCCACCTTACTGAACAAACCCATAACACCTATTATTTCTAGTACCAGTTAAACAGGGTTCCATTTGGCTAAGACTAATCAGGCAGCGATTCTAAAATAATACATACCATTATTTATTTTGACAATGTTCACAAATGTGAAACAATAATTAATAAGTATTCCAAAATCTTACAAAAGTCATAAATGCACAAAATATCACCATACATCATGTTTTCAAATGTACTAAGAAATTATTTCATAGCCCCAGTTAATAGTGCAAATTTAGAAATTTTGGGTGATAATATGCAGTGGGAACTAATGTTAACACAGCTGAATTCACAAGTCACCATGAATTTTTATCCCAAAATAGATCTCTCATCTTACAATTCATAAAACATCCCATTAAGGAATTAGATTTATATTTCTAGTCAATTCCAAACAAAAGTTTATCAAAAAGTCCAAAGAGCAGGAGGGGAGGGGAAGAGAGGATCATAAAGCTGAAAGGAACCTTGGAGGTCTTCTACTCCAGCTCCCTGTCTAAGGCATCCTGGTCAAATGGTTGTCCAAACTTTTCATGAAAACCTCCAGTGATGGAGCATCCACAACTCCAGGAGGCAAGCTGTTCCACTGATTAATTGCTCTGTCAGGAAATTTTTCCTGAGTTCCAGGAATTTAATTATTTGATTATTTTCCTGCTTGGTCTACAAGGTGCAAAGGTGGAAAACAGCACCCATTCTGACTTCTGGAAAAAAAAAGAGCCATCCGAGCAATGTCACAAAAGTAGCATCTCTTATCCCACAGTTTTTAGCCAAGAAAACACTTAGCAATTTCCCGTGCTAGCATTACATTACACCAGGCGTCCCTTACTAGTTTCACACAATTATTTCAAACTGAAATAAGAGTGGCATGGTAACCTAGAGGTGAAGACACTCACCTTCACTCAGAAGGCAGCGACAGATGTCTCCCTATCAGGGCGCAAAGAGAAAATATCTGCTGCAAACTCCATGTAGGCATCAGGAAGGGCATCCGGTCAGTAAACGGTCTGCCCCATTCAGTCACTCGACTCCACCCCGAATCAAGAGATTACAGAGTCATAAAAAGAAAAAACATTCAAACTGAAGTAAATGATAAAGGAACATGCAAGAAGAGCTTTCTACTTCAGTTAAAAGGTAGAGTGGTGTGAGGTGTATTGTCCTAAAACATATATTGGTTCTACTCAGTGGGGTCAAGGGGAAATATATGAGGAAATGTGTGAAGCCAGCTCTACCTCTTTTGTATAGGCATCATGACACTGTGCACAAACACGCTTGCAGCCCATTGTTTTTTCATTTTTACATTCAGAGGATCTTATGGTCCACCTGCAAAAAGTGAGAGTCCTTATTTCCTGGGGAGAAACTATAGGTTTTCCCTTTTGTTATGAGTTTTATTAATGTTATTTTATAAACTGCCTATATATAAACAAACAACATAAACTTTAAATCTCTAGTCCTGATATACTGTTCCTGACTTATGTTCACTTATAGGTAAAATAATTGCTCCTTACTTCATTTCAGGAGACAGATTAGGAGAAATATTTATGTAGTACCTTTTTGCAACAGAAGCTTCATATATTAAAACCACAGGAGCTATTCTTTAAAAAAGGAAAGGTTTAAATGTGTGAAGCTTAAAAAAAAAATCTTTTAAAAAATCTCAGGCTCTCTTATCAGAGAAAAAAAATGATTTGTTAACAATACAGTGGAATACCTATTGAACAAAAAGTATATAGCCTATTTGTAATCTATAAATTAGATTTTAAGTCTAGAACTGGGTAAGTAGACAATCATGATGCCTTTGTTGTACAAAGTTTAAACCAAGTGAAGTAAAAATCAACTTTTGCTGGGGTGGTTCAATTTTCCTTTAGAGTAGTTTTCCAGTACATCTGCCATTCTATGGAAATATTCAAATACTTTCCAGTTTTCCAGAATCTTGTTACCTGTCAGGCAACAAGATCTAAGAACTAATAAATCTGCTTTGCTTTTGTGAGGCTGCAAGAAAGCTGCAATTCATTTTAACTTGGATAATCTAAAAAAAAATTAATGTAATGGCCTGAGTTGTGATTTTCCCATTTTAATAAACATTTCAGTCTAAAAGAAGCATGGAAAGGAGAATCATACCATATTTCAAACAATCCAAAGATATGGCTTGCATCTATTCACACATGGACTTTTCTAAAAGAAACACACCAAATTTCAGAAGATACTTTCAGGAATTTCTGCCCTGATGTCAAGTAAAACGGTTTCATCTATTAAGCTGTTTTTGAAGACCTTGGGCCACCACACCGCCTGCCCTACGGATCTGTTAGGATAAGAGCTGAATTAATGTATTAGAGCTTTCCTCAAGGGAAAGAAAAAAAATGCAATTATGGACAGTAAATTACAAATATTAAATATTGTAAATGAATAAATAAATAAATCCATAGAATATCTTAGCAATTTGTACTACTGTCAGTTTTACATGCTATTTGGTTTTTGTATTTTTTTATTTTATAGTATATTTGAAAAGCTAGTGCTGTCCCACTTGAAAATCATCACGAATCCGCTGTTAGACCCCTTGCAATTTCCATACCGAGCAAATAGATCAACATATGATGCTGTTAATATGGCTCTGTACTACATCCTACAACATCTTGAATCTCGAAAGACCTACGCAAGGGTCCTCTTTGTAGACTTTAGTTCAGCATTCAATACCATCATTCCAGACACCTAACTAAGCTAAACCAGCTACAGGTACCAGACCACCCCACCGATGCCCTTGATGTGATGTCTCACTGCCTGGAGGCCGTGCGGGTCTGGATGGGAAGAAATAGGCTCAGACTCAACCCTTCCAAGACCAAGTGGCTGTGGCTTCCGGTGTCCCAATATAGTCAGCTGGTGCCATCACTGACTATTGGGGATGAATCCCTGCCCACCACAGAGAGGGTTTGCAATCTGGGTGTCCTCCTGGATGCACGGCTGTCTTTAAAAGAGCATTTGACGGCCGTGGCCAGGGGGCCTTTTTATCAGGTTCGCCTGATTTGCCAGTTGCAGCCCTTTCTGAACCGGGACGCCTTGCGCACGGTCACTCACGCCCTTGTCACCTCCCGGCTGGACTACTGTAATTCTCTCTACATGGGGCTCCCCTTGAAGAGCACTCGGAGGCACCAGTAGTCCAGAATGCGGCTGCGCGGGTGGTTATGGGCGCAACCCGTTGTGCCCATGTGACACCCCTCCTGCGCAAGCTGCACTGGGTCCCAGTGGTCTTCCAGGTGCGATTCAAGGTGTTGGTAACCACCTTTAAAGCGCTCCATGGCGACTTCCAGTGGCACCGCGTCATCAATGGCAGCTCCCTTTGGAGCGCTAGCCCTGCAATCTCGTTAAAGTCACTAGAACAGCGAAAACCAGCTATCTAGCGGCTTGGAAATTTTCCCCTCGGGAAAAGAGGGGAAAGAGAGCAGCCAGGCTTGGGTAGAACTCCCCAAGAGTCCCAGGAATAATTCTTGGGGCGCGAAGGGTGACAGCTCCCTGGAAGCCTGACATAAGCTCCGGACCCGGGACGCTTCTGCTTTTAGCAGAACAAGACGCCGTGACCATCCCTGCAACAATTTAACAATATTTTGGATACAAAAGCAGGCAGAGTGAAGTCAGGAGGGACTCTAATTGCAAGTATTAAACTTTAACTCCTGTGTGTTGAACACTTCCTTCTTGATTGCTGTGGGAAGAAAGTAAAAGGAAATGACACCGAGTCTTAATTGGGCATGGTAACGAAAGTTAACTCTAAAGTACTCATCTGCGCTGACAGTCTCTGCTGATAATAAATGGAATTTGTTTTAAAAGAAAGAAGAATTAAATTGGACTGTAGATAAATTCAAACTTATTGAGGACTGGAAACTAATTGGAAATTGAGTTAATTTCTGGGACTGGCTGTTGTAAAAGTTTTAATTTGGAACTGAAAATTGGAAAATGGCTTTCAAGCAAATAAAAACTGCTGGGGCCAAAATTACTGTGAGTTCTCCTGTTCCACCACCCAAACCGCAATCTTTGACAGTTCCAGTAGAACCATAAATTTTAATCCTGGAAGCCTTGCAGCAAGCCTTAAAGCTGCAAGCCTTCTCTTTAGAAGAAAAAATTACTTCTGCTTTTGATGAAAAAATGAAAGTGGTGACTGATAAAATGAATGAAGTAACTGGAGAAATGACAGAAATCAAAGATGTAATTCAAGCTCGAAATAAGGAAATTAGAGAAGACATTATTTTTGCATTTAAAGGTTTGGCAAGCCACATTGAAGGGTTAGATGAAAGATTAGAGGAAATTAATCAATCAAACGTGAATTTGGAGAATAAAATGGGAGAGGTTCAGACACAGATAGAAAAAGCAGACTCAGAGGTGATGATGATACAATATAGATCAATGGAATTTGCCATAAGAGTAAGAGGTCTGAAAGAAAATACCCAAGAGAATTTGAGAGAGATCTTTGCAGAAGCCTTTGTACAGATAACTGAAGAAAGAAAGGAGGATTTGGATTGGCAAATTGATAAAATTTATCGTGTTAACTCATGGGTGGCCAGGCAGAGAAATTTACCAAGAGACATTGTAATTTACTTTACAACAAGGAGGCTAAGAAATATGATATTGCAGGCTTCTTACAAAAATAAACTTCAAGTGGCAGGGCAGGAGATTTTAACATTGAAAGAAATCCCTCCCAAAATGTTGAGAGCAAGGAAGGACTATGCTTTTGCGGTGGATGAACTTAGAAAGTGTCAGTTACAGTACAGATGGGAGATTCCAACTGGATTGGTGGTGGATTATTCAGGACAGAGATTTCATCTTAATACAGTATGGAAGGCAAAAGATTTTCACTTTAATGTATTAAAGGCTGGAGGTTCATCTTCTCCAGAAATCAGAAGAAGAAAGGAAACAGAGGAAGCAAGAAAGGGAGGGAAAGAAATTACGCAGGCTCAGGCACAGGCTCAAGGAGGGGCCTCGATTATTGAAGAAGATTTATTACATTTTACGAGCTCTGCCCAAGACATGGAATTATTTGGCAAAATAGAGGAACCAAGGGACCAAAGACAGACTCGAGCAGCAACGAAACGCCAAGAGGAATTAAAGGTGCAGCAAGCCCAGATGAAAGCACAAGAAACTACAAAATCAGAAGCAGTGGGAGGGGCAAGGCCGAAGATTAAAGTGAAAGATGACCTTCAGCTAATGCTTGAAATTGCCAAAGATGGCAAGTAAATTTCTAACCTGGAATGTCAATGGTTTAAATTCACCGCAAAAGAGGAGGAAAATATTTCATTATCTGAAGCAGTATAAAAATGACATTATATGCTTACAAGAGACACATATTAGAATGCAAGATCAAAAATATTTAATAAATGCAAGATTGGGGACACATTTTGTAGCATCTGCACCGGAAAAGAAAAATGGTATAGTTATATATCTAAAAAAAGATTTAATAGCTAAATTAATTGAAGCAGATGTGCAAGGAAGATATATCACAATTGAAATTTTAATAGAAGGGAAAAAAACATTATTAATTGGAATATATGCACCAAATCAGCAACAAGAAAGTTTCTATAAGACTTTACATGCTAAATTAACACAATGGGATTACAAAATACATATAATGATGGGAGATTGGAATGGAGTTATGGACATTAAAAAGGACAAAAAAGGATCTCTGCAAAATATCCAAACACGTGCCAGATTGCCTAAATCCTTTTTTGATATGATGGAGGATATGGAGCTGAGAGATATTTGGCGTGAGAGGAATGGAGAAGAGAAAGATTTTACCTTTTTTTCTGATAGACATCAGTCATTTTTTAGGATTGACTTTATATTAATTTCTAATGATTTTCTTTCTAGGGTGAAGAAAACGAAAATATGTCCAAGAACATTAACAGATCATAGTCCGGTTTGGATGGAATTAGAATATGAAAAGGGACCCAGGAAGTCCTGGAGGCTGAATGAAAATTTGTTTAGATATGAGGGAAATGTGAAAGAATGCAAACAATTTATGAAAGAATTTTTTGTTATGAATATGCATAAAGGTACACCTATGGAGACGGTTTGGGATGCAAGTAAAGCATATATGAAAGGTATTCTAATATAGATGAATAATAAATATAGACGTAAACATGAAAGGAAACGGAAGGAGCTAGAAAAAGAAATAAAAAATAAAGAGCAACTATTAATTTTAAACCCAACTGATAAGAAAACAAAAGAAGCAATTAATTTATTACGAGGGCAATTTAATATGTTGATGGCAGACCAGGTGGCAACTAATTTGCAATATGCCAAACATAATACTTTTTGTAATGCTAATAAACCAGGTAGATGGTTGGCATATCTGCTCAGAAAAAAACAAAAGTCACGTACCATAGAGAAAATAGAATATAAGGGTAAAGAGGTGTATCAGCAAAATATGATTAAAACAGCATTTTCAGAATTCTATACGAAGTTGTATACTAGTGATAAGATTCAAGGTACGGATATAGACAAATATTTACAGAGGGAGAATATTTCTATAATTTCAGAAGAGCAAAGGGAAGGTTTGAATCAATTGATAACTGTTGAAGAAATTGTTTTAGCAATTAAGCAACTGAAGGTGGGAAAAGCCCCTGGGACGGACGGACTGACAGCGGTTTATTATAAAAATTTGCAGGCAGAAATGGTGGAACCACTTAAAGGATTATTTAATAAAATACAAACCGGAGGACAAGTGCCTCCTTCTTGGAGAACAGCATTTATTTCCCTGATCCCAAAGGAGGATCAACATCACACTCAACCAAAAAACTATAGGCCTATATCACTGTTAAATACAGATTATAAGATTTTTACTAAAATATTGGCAAATAGGTTGATGCCAGTTATGCAACAAATGATTCATAATGATCAAACTGGTTTTATTAATAGGCGATATATGAAAAGTAATGTAAGGCAAATAGTTAATATATTGGAGTATTTGGGAAAGAACAACCAGGTCCCTGCGGTGCTTATATTCTTAGATGCGGAGAAGGCGTTTGATCGATTGAATTGGAATTTTTTATTGAAAATAATTGAAAAGATGCAATTTGGAGAGTATTTTATACAATCTATTAAGGCAATACCAGCAACAAATGGCACAAGTAATATTAATGGTAGTTTAACAGAAACTTTCAGTATAGAAAAGGGAACAAGACAAGGATGTCCTTTATCTTCATTATTGTTTATTCTGACTCTGGAAGTTTTGTTGAATAAAATGTGTGGTTCAGATAAAATAAGGGGAATTAAAATTAGGCATGAGGATTATAGGATACGAGCATTCGCAGATGACCTGGTTGTGACCTTGACCCAACCAATAAAATTGGTTACAGGTTTAATGGATATAATTAACCAATATGGACAAGTATCTGGATTTAAAATTAATGCAGGGAAAATGAAGATAATAATTAAAAATATGGTTTTTATTTTTTTTTATTTATTTATTTTCAATTTATATACCGCCCTTCTCCCTGAGGACTCAGGGCGGTGCACAGCCAGAATTAAAAACATGAAACACAAATATTAAAAACAATTAAAATCTATATAAATTTGGCCCAAAATTTAAAAAACCACAAACCAATTAAACATTTAAAAATTTTAAAAAATTTCTTCCTAAGGCAGCCCGGCTTGCTGGAAAAAGTGAGTTTTAAGGGCACGGCGGAAGGCACTGAGGTCTTGGATTCTCCTTATCTCTGGGGGGGCAGCTGATTCCAGAGGGTAGGTGCCCCCACAGAGAAGGCCCTCCCCCTGGGGGTCACCAGCCTACATTGTTTGGCTGATGGCACCCTGAGGAGGCCTCTCTGTGGGAGCGCACAGGTCGCTGGGAGGTCGTCGGTAGCAGCAGGCGGTCTCGAAGATAGCTAGGCCCTATGCCATGGAGCACTTTAAAGGTGATAACCAGCACCTTGAAGCGCACCCAGAAGACCACCGGGAGCCAGTGCAGCTCGCGCAGGAGCAGTGTTACATGGGAGTGCCATGCTGCTCCCATCACTACCCGTGACTTTACAAGTCAAAAAGAAGAAATAGAAAGAATAACAGGATTTGAATCAATAAAGAAGGTTAAGTATTTAGGGGTGTATATTACGACATCAAATGCGAAACTATATAAGTATAACTATGAACTGTTGTGGCAAAAAATACAGAAAGACATGGAAAATTGGAAAAAATTGCAATTATCACTGCTGGGAAGGATAGCTGCAGTGAAGATGAATATTTTACCAAAGTTCTTATTTCTTTTCCGAATGATACCAATACTGAAAAAAGATGGAAACTTGAACGAATGGCAGAAGGGTATTACTAATTTTGTGTGGGTAGGAAAGAGACCAAGAATAAAACAAAAAATAATGCAAGATACACGTGAAAGAGGAGGTCTCCAAGTGCCTAATTTAAGATTGTATTACGAGGCAGCTGTGCTCTCAATAATTAAGTGATTGGATTAATTCAACAGAAGAGAGAATATTGAATATTGAAGGGTATGATTTGTTATATGGATAGCATGCATATTTACTATATGATAAAAAGGTGGATAAGAATGTTAAAAGTCATATATTAAGAAATGCATTATTACGTGTATGGAAAAAGTATCAATATAAATTAAATAATAAATTACCTATATGGACAATACCTAGACATATGATAGAGAATATAAGTGTGGAACAGAAACAAGATGTGATTACTTATAAAGAGCTTCTTATCTTGGAAAGAGGCACATTGCAATTAAAGTCTTTAGAGGTATTAAAGGAAGAAAGGAAAATTCAAACTTGGTTTTAGTATGGACAGTTGTATACTAGATGGAAAGAAGATCAGAAAATTGGTATTTTGCAAAATGAAGAAAATTTAATAAAACAAATTAGGGATCAAAGCCCAATGCATATTAAAAGGTTGTATAATGCATTGATAGAAATAGATTCAGAAACTGAGTTAGTGAAAGACTGTATGATAAAATGGGCACAAAACTTTGGGGAATCAATAACCATGAATGTATGGGAGAAAATATGGGTTAGAAATGTAAAATTTACTCAAGCCCAAAACCTGAGAGAAAATTTTTACAAAATGTTTTATAGATGGCATTTAGATCCCAAAAAGTTAGCTTGTATGTACCCGAGTTTACAATCTACGTGTTGGAGATGTAAATGTGATGATGCAACGTATTTTCATATATGGGGGACATGTAAGAAAATTAAGGCATTTTGGATTAAGATATGGTGGATTATACAAAATATTCTTAAAAGGAAGATAAAATTTACTCCACAGTTGTTTTTATTGGGCATAACTGTAGATTGTACAGTTATAGAGACTAATCTGATTTTGAATTTAATAACTGCAGCCAGACTTTTGGTGGCGCAATATTGGAAGAAGGAAGACGTACCTACCATTGAAGAATGGACATTAAAAGTAGCTAATTTGGCAGAGATGGCTAAAATCTCTGCATATTTGAAGGATCGTTCAAATGAAAGATATGTACTGGAATGGAGAAGATGGATTGACTATATATAAAACAAATATGGGACTAAAAAGTTGCAAATAGCTTATGAATGAAATGTTTAGATGATTTTTCTTTTTATTCTGACATTTTGGTACCTATCAGGGAGTTAAAGAGTAAGGGGGAGTTAAGAGCTTATAGTTAGTTTGTTTATGTTAGATTATGTTTGTTAAATGCAATACCCTGTATTTTGCTCTGGGAAGTCGGGGGGGGGGGGGGGAGAGAGGGGAGAGGGTGGGGGGGGGGGGGGGGAAAATTTGTAAAACATTCTAAAACTTTGCAATATATATATGTATGTATGTATGTATGTATGTATGTATGTATGTATGTATAAAGCGCTCCATGGCATAGGACCCGGGTACCTTCGAGACCGACTTCTGCCACCAATAGCCTCCCACTGGCCAGTTCACTCCCACGGAGAGGGTCTCCTCACGGTGCCATCAGCCAAGTTATGTCGGCTGGCGACACCCAGGGGGAGGGCCTTCTCTGTGGGAGCCCCTGCCCTGTGGAATGAACTGCCCCGGAAATGCGTAAGATCTCCAACCTCTGTGTATTTTGCTGTGCCCTCAAGACCCTGTTGTTCTGCCAGGCCGGGCTATCAATGTAATGATTTTTAAATTGGGTGTTTTAAATTCTTGGGGTTTTAAATTTGAGCCGAAATTATTTAATAATTTTAATTATTTTTAACTGATGTCTGTCTTTGTGCTTTTAATAGGCTGTACACCGCCCTGAGTCCTTCAGGAGAAGGGCGGAATAGAAATAAAATTATTTATTTATTCATTCATTCATTCATTCATTCATTCATTCATTCATTCTAAGTGGATCATAAGCTTCCTAACAAACAGAAAGCAGCAGGTGAAGCTAAGCAGACTCACATCAGATACCTATACAATTAGCACAAGGGCCCCCCAAGGCTGTGTGCTCTCTCCACTTCTCTTCTCTCTGTACACCAATGACTGCATCTCTAACGATCCATCTGTTAAACTACTGAAGTTCGCAGATGACACAACAGTGATCAGTCTCATTCAAGACAATGATGAATCCGCATACAGACGGGAGGTTGAACAACTAGCCTCGTGGTGCAACCGGAACAATCTAGAACTGAACACACTCAAAACCATAGAAATGGTGGTAGACTTTAGGAGAAACCCTTCCATACTTCCACATGTTATAATACTAGACAACACAATATCAACAGTAGAGACCTTAAAATTTCTAGGTTCTACCATATCGCAAGATCTAAAATGGGCAGCTAACATCAAAAATGTCATCAAAAAAGCACAACAAAGAATGTTCCTTCTGCGTCAACTCAGGAAGCTCAAACTGCCCAAGGAGCTGCTGATACAGTTCTACAGAAGAATTACTGAGTCTGTCATCTGAACCTCTGTAATTGTCTGGTTTGGTTCTGCAACCCAACAAGACAGACACAGACTTCAGAGGATAATTAAAACTGTAGAAAAAACAATTTCTACCAATCTGCCTTCCATGGAGGACCTGTATACTGCACGAGTCAAAAAGAGGGCTGTGAAAATATTTACAGACCCCTTGCATCCTGGATATAAACTGTTTCAACTCCTACCCTCAAAATGACACTATAGAGCACTGCACACCAGAACAACTAGACACAAGAATAGTTTTTTCCTGCAGGCCATCACTCTGCTAAACAAATAATTCCCTCAACACTGTCAACTATTTACTAAGTCTGCACTACTATTAATCTTCTCATCGTTCCCATCACCCATCTCCTTCCACTTATGACTGTATGACTGTAACTTTGCTGCTTGTATCCTTACGATTTATATTGATATTGTTTCCTGATTGCGTGTTGTACCTTATGATTCTTGATGAACTTATCTTTTCTTTTATGTACACTGAGAGCATATGCACCAAGACAAATTCCTTGTGTGTCCAATCACACTTGGCCAATAAAAAATTCTGTTCTGTTCTGTTCTGTTCTGTTCTGTTCTGTTCTGTTCTATTCTATTCTATTCTATTCTATTCTATTCTATTCTATTCTATTATTTTACAAGCCACTTAGAAAACTTTGGTTAGAAATTAACAAAGAAATGTAACACACTTAAATACGTCAAAGCTTGCATAAAAGTAGTTGATTTAACTTGCTTGATGAACGAGCCAATTTTTAATTGGCTCAATGTGTTTTTGTTGTATTTTAATTAACTGCAGTTTAAAATTTAAAAAAGTTTATAAACAGTTGCTTTGGACAGTGAGATGGGCAGCACTGAAATTTAATAAATGAAATAATAAAAATAGAAATAAAAAATGAAACTGCTTTCATTTATTGCAATATGAGTTGTCTTGTCAGGCTATATCTTGAAAGACTGCTTATAACTTTTTTAAAAAATCAATTAAACAATTAAAGGCAATGAGCTTAACTGTTTAATTGATTTTTAAAAATGGTTTCTAAGCAGCCTTTTAGGATAATACACATTATTATTACACACAGTCCAGTCAATTGGATAAACCCTGAAAATGAGGGATTTTATGTAATGTGATTTCACAGCTTAAAAACTGAAACACGTCTTTTAATGTGATGTCTTCTCTTCTGTGTTTCAGATTCCATACTAATTTCCTTTAGTATGTGTGCCACAAGGGCAGCCAGGCACAAGAGTGAGGGTCAGGGTTAAAATTTCACATTTTGTGCAAGCTGTATCTTCAACATCCTTTACCCACTTTTTAAAAATGCGTATTATTTAACTGTGGTTTACTGCGAACTGTATGGATTTAAGGACTGCAGCCACAAACAAGACAATTTGCGCTGTGAGCATCCTCTAGTGAAAAGAGCTGTTTAATGCACCAATTTCAAAGACTGAAATTAGAATGCTGGGAAAGCTGAGGGGAGTTATAAACAGAATAATCCAAGTATGGTTTGTACAAAATTCTACTTAAATTGTGAACACATTACATTTGGTTACTAAAGTTTTAAAATATTGGCAAAGATTTAAGCAGTTTCACAAGATCATAGATATGCCGTGGGCAGGAAAGATAAGTGTAAAACCAAGGAGATAAAACCTGCATTCTATGTGGAAGCCCTTCATACAATTCCTGGAATCAATCAAAAGGCACATTTTCAAAACCTCTCACAAAAAGTAAGCATTTTCTCCTTTACTTAAGGGAAACTGGAATGCAGCGCTGTCGTTTGTAAGTCAAAAATAAAAGTCATTTCTCCATCAGACTTCAGGCAACAATCAGGATCAAAAAATCATAAGCTACACCTAACAAAAGGAAAGATGGGGGAATATCATGTCACATCTGTTTGGTGTGCAAATAAGCCATTTGAATATTTTATGCATTTAGAAAATGCACTACAAACGTTATTTTTAAAACAAAAATATTGTTGTGAGAATAATTCAGACATCCTAAAAATATATTATTTACTACAACATTCTAGAACAGAACTTACTATTACATTGATAGATTATAGGATGGTTTTCTCTCAAACATCCCTATAAGTTAAAACCATGAATTTGATTTAAATTGGCAAGCAAATAGTTTAAAAGTCAAAGCTGTGCTTTGATGACAAAAAAGCGGAAGCCAGCCAGGCAGCTTTGTGCATACACCTATCAAAAGGCTATCAAAATATCCTTCATGGGTGTCTGTATTTAGAATTTAGCAGCTGCAACCATACAAAGCCTCGCTCCTTTTTTTTACATACTCCATAGATATGACATGCATAAAAAGGGGGCAGTTTCAATTATCAGGATCTGCTGATCCAGTTCTACAGAAGAATTATTGAGTCTGTCACTTGTACCTCTATAACTCTCTGGTTTGGCACAGCATCCAAACGGACAGGTACAGATGCCAATGCATAATTAGGACTGCAGAAAAAAACAATGGCAACCAGCCTGCCTTCCATTGAGGACCTGTTTACTGCACGAACCAGAAAGAGGGCTGAGAAAATATCTACAGATCCCTCACATCCTGGACATAACCTGTTTCAACTCCTCCCCTCAGAACGCCGCTATAGGGCATTCCATGCTAAAAATCATAGACTCAAAGACAGTTTTTTTCCCCATGCCACCATTCTGCTGAACACTTAATTCCCACAGCACTGTTTAGGCCTTAAAATTGACCCATGTAGTAGGCTCTATCATCTCTATCAGCTTTCTCATCTTCTCATCATTCCTACTATCTTCTACTATCCTACTGGAATCTTATGAAGGAATCTTTCCTACTACCTACCTACTATCCTATTGGAATTTTATGATTTATCACTTGTTTGTATCTTATGATTAATAATTGTAACTATGATTTATGATCTATGACCTATCACTTTGTTGTACGTATGTACACTGAGAGCTTCTGTACTGGAGACAAATTCCTTGTGTGTCCAATCACACTTAGACAATAAAGAATTCTATTCTATTCTATAAAGTCATCCTGAGATTTTTTAGCCCTTCCTCAATACCCAGTATCTCCCACACAGCAATAAAACATTCAGTAATTTTTGAATTTAACCTAACCAAGCTATCAAACTCCATTTTTATGTCATTTCTTTTTGAAATCATTCCCACATTCCTGCAATTAATCACGTGATCAAAACTTGGGTGCTTGGCAACTGGCATGTATTTATGACAGTTGCAGTGACCCGGGGTCATGTGATGACCTTCTGACAAGCAAAGTCAATGGGAAGGCCAGATTTACATGATAGCTGTTACTAACTTAACAACTGCAGTGATTCACTTAACAACTGTGGCAGGAAAGGTCATAACATGAGGCAAAATTCACTTAACAAATGTCTTGCTTAGCAACAGAAATTTTGGCCTCAATTGTGGTCATAAATTGGGGACTACCTACACCTCAATTCAGCCCCTTTGTACGTCCAATAAAATCACCAATCTTGTCTGGCTGTCCTCTCTCCTGACTGCTGAGCCAAGAGAACTAAAATATTGCAATGCCGGCACGGAACTTTTAGAATGACAATCTAGGACTGCAGTGCTCCTCATTCCTGGGGAAATTTGTAACTAAAGCAGAAATGTGCCCTTATTTAGTCCAGGGATCGAGGCTGTTCACAAGCCCCAGAGATGGCTTCCATTTCAGTCGCAAAGGAGTAGCTATTTCATTCCGGTGCCCATTCAGACAACCACTGCTTGCAGTGGGTTTGCTGTTCCTCCATCTCTTGGGTCTTCGTTTCAGGTGTGACGTCACAATTTAGGACAGCAAATGGATCTTCCTGCTTTTCTTCCTTCCCTGCCCAGATGCCCTTGTCTTTCAATTCCTGGATCAGCTCATCCAAGTGGTGTGTAAGACGCTGAGGGACCCAACTGCTGTCAAAGGAGGGAACAAAGGGGTCTGGAGCGCTCACTTCAATAAGCTCCTTGTTGGTTGGAATGCACAAATAATACGCATGCAACATCATCCGATATGGAGCATTGTCCTTCTTAAAGCTATAGGTAAAGTCCCCAACAATTGGGTGCCCAATGGCACTGCAGTGGACCCGGAGCTGATGCGTTCTTCCTAAGAAAAAAGACGTACAAGGAAAACAAGTTTCCAAACAGGGAAACTTAGGCTGTTTGTGCAAGATTCTTTCCAATACTCTACTGATGACCTTGTGCGAAAGCATGCATGTTTGTTATAAGTACGGGAAGTTGTCTATATGCCATTAACCAATCTGTGACTTAAGACTGTCTTCTGGAATCATTCTATCATTGTTGGGATGATATAGAGCTCTCCTCGTTACTGTTATTTTGATGCAATGGCTGGATGATACTAGAAGCCACTAGTGGTAAAACAACTTTGTCCCAGCATGGGGCAGTTTGGTGGTATGACAAATACATTCCCAAAAGTAACTCAACAACAAAAACACTTCCTTTAATTTTATTTACATTGCATGTTTCATTAAAATCCAATATATTTTATGGAAGCCACCATCACGTAATCAAAGCTTTCATCTTGACACTTTGGGACCCCCTGAAGACCCTCCCCATTTTATAATGAAGAGGGTATTTAATTTACTATTATAACTATTTTTAATAAGGAAGCATTAAAACTGAACTTGGGTAAGTACGTTTGGAATTCCCTGGTGTCTCAATTTCTAGAGTCTCAAGCTGCACCCTCGACCCTCTACAGAGCACCTTGGCTAAGGTGCCGCCTCTACAGAGGGTCGGCTTTTGTTTCCTTTACCCAGCTACAGGATGGAGCCTTGGGTCTCTTGTACTCAAGGTTGATGCTAGACCACAGAGCAAAACAAAATGCTGCCTCATGTTAAATTTTTAGAGTTCACTAGTTTGCCAGCTTGCTAGAGTGTCTGGCAGAAATCTTTCCTAGCACTATTTGGAAATGCTAAGGATCTAACTTGCCCCCTTCTGCAGACAAACCCATCACTCCACCTCTGAGCTTTAGCTTCTCTGCGAAACTATAACCAGTTTTTGGAAAATAAACTGAGCTAAGAAATCACAAGTCTCAGTCTGAGACAAAAGTTGCAATCCGTAATTCTTTTCTCCTGAAATGTGCAGATAGGTCTGTACAATCAACACTAGAAAACTGGCCTAACTCTAACTTTTATACTACCATGTCCTGGAAAAAAGCAAGCAAATAAAGATAATTTTACTTATTCAGTTTGTACATGCTGTCATTCTAGTATCTGAACAACAGAGGCTTGACTAATATGTATATAATGACTAATACATATGTCATTAGGACCAGTATTACTTTTACTTATTTATTTGAATTTATTGGTAGCCCGATTCTAGTGGACTCTGGACAATGTACAAAACTAGAAAAAAACATAAATATAAAATCAGAGACCAATGATTAAAATTATCCAACATAAACAAAATCAACAAAAGAATAAAACAACAAGCATCAAGCTCAGGCCTGGGGCCAATGCCATATTTTCAAACTTTCTAAAACCCTAGGAAGGAGGGTGCCATTCTTCTTGGGGGGGGGATGAAGTTCAGAGGGTGTGGCCTGTAAAGAGTGGGCAGGCTTCCTAGGTCACACAAGATGGCCGTGTTTAATGGAGGAGACCTAGAGCACACCCACCCTGCTGGAACATACTGGGCAGGCAAAAACAATTGAAGACAAGCAGTCTCTTAGCTAATCACAGTCCAACTATCTACTAAAGCAGTGTTTCTCAACCTTGATAGCTTTAAGATGTGTGGACTTCAATTCCCAGAATTCTGGCTGGGAAATTCTGGAAGTTGGAGTCCAGAGATCGTACATTTGCTAAGGTTGAGAAACACTACACCAAAGGATCTTGTTTTATTTCATGGATTGTATCTTTTTACCACTTCACATCTGGAAGGACTTTTTAAAATGCATTCAATACTTAATACTCACTTTCCAAAATGACAAGAATTTAGGTAACTCTAAACTGTCCATTATATAAGATAACATTTGTAACATAATAGAATTCTTCACCTATTCATTTGAAATAATTATATGTGGAGCAATTAACATTTAAACTTTAAAAAAAATTAAAAGTTTTTTTTACCACAGATACATGTAATTTCAAAGCTTATTTTCTAAAGATTCGCTGGATAGGGAGGTGAGTGGCATATAACTTAAATAAATAAATGGTTTTAGCATTATTTCTCCATGTACCAACCAAGCCTACAGAACCATAAAGAAACAAGGAAGGGTGTAAACAGTGAAATCTCTTTTGCATGGCAGCAGTGGAATTTTATGCTAATTCTGGGGGAGAGATCTCTGTACCTGTGAGAGGCTGTAAAAGCACTTTTGTTGCTGGCTCTCCACTGTACAACCCATATTCAAGGACTACGAGTTCTGACCGACAAGGTTTCGGGCTTTTGCAACCTGTTAAGAATTAGACATTGTTTTTATTAAGGAGCGATAACAGTAATTCAGCAGTTTTAAAAATTTCAGCATGTAGTCCAGCAAAGTACACACAGGCTGATACAAAGTCAAAATTCTCTTCTAGGAAGAGAAGGAGAGCATTTTGCTAGGATTATGTATTCAACCAACCAACAAATTAAGGCAGTCATGTGTAGTCCTCATAAGGAGACAAAACTAATTATGTTTGTTTTCTTTTCGAAGTTTAGAACATTCTCTGAATATATGAACTATCATTAAGGATTGGTTGAAAACCAAGCTGTCTTAAACCTGGCTCACAAACCAGTGTTTGATGCACAGACACTGTCCTTAAGTTAGGTACAAAGTAGATAAAAGCACAAAGGAGTACAAGGAAAGAAATCATAAAGGCAGATGACTGCTTAAAAGGCAGGAAGCTGCCTGCACCTGAATCAAGCTGCAAAGTCATATGGACTAGACTGTATTTCCTGGAAGAAGTATTTCAGAGTTTCAGAGGGTATCTCTTCCAGGTCTGCCTAGAGCCATGATGGCAAATCTGTGGCACGCGTGCCGGAAGTAGCACGCAGAGCCCTCTCTCCGGGCACGTGAGCAATCACCCATTGCTCACGTGCGCCGGCCAGCTGGTCTTCACACATGCGGGAGCGCCAGGAACTGGAAGAGCAGCCACTCAGTGCGCATGCGTACACCGGGCAGCTGCTCTTGCGGTTTCTGGCCTAGAGAATTGGACTGTGAACTTTCAGCAGCCAAAACAGATACAAAGCAACGAAGCATACAGGGGCCAAATGAAAATAATTAAAAGTAAAGAGAAAAACACTCTATTAGTAGACCTAGCTATCCCAGAGGCAAAACTGTTTGGCTGGAATCCCTGATTCTTTGTCATGCGATAAACCAATCTTTGAAAGCAGAAAAGGGACTTCACAGTCATAGTAGCCTACCATCGGTCCCTTCAATGCACATCATGTGAGTCAGCCCTTCAGTCGTATTCTTCCCTATAGCAAAGCAGATCGTCCTCTTTGCCTCCTGGATGTGGCCTCTCACCTGTCCAAACAGAAGACACTTCAGAGCAGTGATTTACAATGCCATGTTGGTTGGTTCGTTAGATTTATATCTTGCTTTTCCTCCAAGAATGCAAGGCAACTTACATTACTTGGTCTATTGTGTGGATGTTTGGGTGGTTTAGGGGTGGGGAATTGTGGTGGGTGGGAGTGTGCTTGGGGATTATGTGTGTGGGACCTGGTCTTTGGGTGTTAAGTAAATTATTGTGTATACACATACAATGACAATAAAGTTTATTATTATTATTCTCTCACTTTTCCCTCAACACCACCACGTGCTGTAGGTGGGACTAGGTGGATGGAAGTAGCTCAGAATTCATAGATAGCAATAGCACTTAAGACTTATATACCGCTTTACAGTGCTTTACAGCCCTCTCTAAGCAGTTTACAGAATCGGCATATTGCCCCCAACAATTTGGGTCCTCATTTTACCCACCTCGGAAGGATGGAAGGCTGAGTCAACCTTGAGCCTGGTGAGATTTGAACTGCCAAATTGTAGGCAGTCGGTGGTCAGCAGAAGTAGCCTGTAGTACTGCGCTCTAACCACTGTGCCACTGGGTCTCCCCCTCCAATTCCATCTTTATCATTACCCCACTCTGGTGATATGAAATGTCATTGCTGTTAAGAAACAATACAAGGTAATACAAACATCCTATCTGAGGAATAAGAAATCAATAGGGCAGATTTTCTACAGAACTAGAAAATCTGAATTTTATTCATCCATCCATTTGTTTGATTTATACAGATAATCCTCAACTTAGGACTATACATTCAGTGATTGTTCAGTTACAATGGTGCTGAAATTAGTAACTTATGACCGGTCAATGCACTTATGATGAATTCAGCATCCTGTAATCATTGGCACTTGGCAACTAACCAATGGTTGCAGTGTCCCTGGGTCATGTGATCCCTATTTGCAACCTTCCCAGTTGACTTCTGGCAAGCTGAATCAATGGATGAAGCTCTTGATAACCACAGCAAAAAAGGTTGTAAAATCATGCAGTCACATGATGATTCACTTAACAACCACTGTCAGATCTGTCCCAATCCAATCCCTTAGGAAACAAAAACCCTCGACTCCATTTGGTTAAAGCAAAGGGTTCTTTTACTAAAGGTGTTGGTTACAGTAAAGTCAAACCAGCTCTGAAATACCCCACGCTCACTAAATACAAAAAAGGTGTCAAGGTATGTAGATTTAAGCTGTAAGCTGATGGAAGGTTGTAAGTGGAAGCAACTGAAAGCTGATGCAATTAGAGTGAGGCAGCAGGGTTACTGCCACTTTAAGAAGCCGGGTCAGAGGGCATCTCCCTTCTACTCATGTTCTCTCTCGTCGTGTATCTCATTGCTCTCGTGTCTGTAGCTGTATGACAAGGTATTTACCACGTATAAGTCTGTATATATTTAACTGTACATAAACCACTGTTAATTATCCAAAGGCGCTGTGTGCTGTGTTTTGCTCCTGGGTTTATCTCATAATGCTAGTCACGCTGCCTAAACTCTTGACAAAATGTGTAGGTTTGCCCACAGCCCATCTCTCCCCTCATGACCAGTCCATTTCCAGCCAACCAGAACTCATCCTTCCACCCTCTTCTTCCCCCTTCCAACTTTTGATGGCAGGATGCCTGTGAGGCGCCAAGCTGAACTAGACAGTGCTGACAACCACACTGCTTAGAGATGGAAGTTCTGGTCCCAATTGTGGTTGTATTTCAAGGGCTACCAGTAATCACTCACCTCTCTGTGGGCAGTTTACAATTAAAACATAAACAGTACCCTCCCTCCAAAAAATAAATGAAGCAACCATTCAAAAATATGCTACCATTAAAAACTATACAGTACAGTCACCAGGACAGCACAATCACATCAAGAACAGATACAGCCATTTTTATGGGCTCCACACAACTTTCTCATCCCCAGATCAGATGGCCAAGTCACCTTTCAGGCCCTTCCGGAAGGCCAGGGGCAGCCAGATACCCAAGGGGCAGGAGGATGTTCCATAGGGTGGCTGCAGCATCAGAAAAGGCCCTCTGTCTGGCTCCTATCAGGTGACACTCTCCAGTGGTGGGAACTCACAAGAAGCCTTCTCTGCAGGATCTGATGTCCAGGACCCATAGTAGATGTCGCTAGAGAGTTAATCATCCCTCAAATAACCTCCACCCGCCATGTAGCATTTATAGGTTATCACCAGCACTTTGAATTGCACCCAGGAATAAATTGGTAACCAATACAACTGATGGAGCAGAGGTGTAACATACACAGATCTAAGTGTGCATGTAAGAGTCCATGCTACTGCATTTGCACCAACTGAAGTTTCTAAAACTTTTTCAGGGACAGCCTCATGTAGAGTGCATTACAGTAATCCATACAGGTGACCAGGGCATAAGTGACTGAGCATAGTCTCCTCATCCAGGAATGGGTGTAAGTGGCACACAATCCAAAGCTATGCAAAGGCTCTCCTAGCCACAACTGCCACCTTTTTTTCAGGCAGGAGTCATGAGTCCAGAAGGATACCCAGACTGCCCACCAGGTCTGTCTGGGGAACTGCGACCCCACCCAGAACCAAAGATGATAAGTTCCCAGATTCAGATGGCCGAGAACCCAAAGCTACTCAGTGTTGCCAGAATTGAGCCAAAGCCTGCTGTTCCCCATCCAAGCCCCTATGATCTCCAGACTCTGACAGGATCTTGGCAGCATTGCTTACTTCACTAGGGACAGAGATATATATATATAGCTGGCTGGGCATTAAAAGCCAAAGTTATGGATGACCTGATCCAATATCCTATAAATGTTAAACAGGAGTCGAGACTTGTAACAAACTCTGCAGCATTCCACAATCAACACTGACTGAAACCAGCCACTGAGGAGGACGGAAGAGAACTAGCTCAATACAGCGCTGCCCCTCCCAATCCCCACAGCAGGTCCAGGAAGATATCATGGTTGATGGCACTGAAGGCCACTGAGAAGAGTAAACAATACATCATAGAATTACCAACTCAGACAAACTAGCTAACAGTAAACAACAGCCTAATCAAGGAATCACCAAGAACACGCGCACAAACTCTGAGAGGGCAAGTGACTAGTATATAAAGACAGCAACTCCCCTCTCTTAAAGCAGAGGCCCATCCTTCATCGTGGAGATTGAATGGCAGATAGTTGTCCTGCATCATGAATCAGCCAGGGATAAGTGTCTCTTGTGAATGGCCGCACGGTGGGGAAGAAAGGATCAGTGGTGGGACAGGAGTGCTGGCAGAGGGCCAGCTGAATGAAACCTGCAATAAGTCGGCTGCAATGGAGGGCCCGAGGTGAAGTGGGCATGGCAATGTCACCACAATCGTCCCTTTCCGCCACAAAGGAGCAGCCTCCTTTACACAAGGACCTCTCTTGTTATATGACAATTCTTTTCTTATTGCCCCCACACACTACTGCTCAGCGAAGTCTATCCTCTTAATTCAAAATGTAAACATTCAGAAAGATTTTCATTTCCATTTCTACAGTCTAGAAACCACTGCAGTCTGGCTGTCACATAGTGGAAAGAACAGGGGTAGTTTACCAATGCAAGATAGGCCTTGGTGACTGTCTGATTTTTGAAACACTTGTATACACTGCCAGCCGCCTCTCTGTTCAGTGCCACACAAAGTGCCCCACTGGTGGAGAAATCCAGCTGGTGGCAAAACCTAGGGAAAAAAAATACCCAAGATATGTTAATATGCAAACCCAATTAAAATATTTATAGACCCTCACTGTTATGTTGAGACCTAAAAGATGGTCAGTTTCTGGTTTAGAGCATTTGAAGGACTAGACCTCTTGGTGGGATCACTGCTGTTGATTTTTGATAGTGGCACCCTATTGATCCCTTCAGAAGCAAAAAGCAACTTATGAAGATATGATAAAAAATTAAAACACAATCAAAACCAATCAGGAGAAGGCAAAACTAGTAACATCAGAAAAATATAAAGGGGCAACATAGCAACAATAGAAGCATTGTTCTAAAAGAAATTGTACATGATTTGAAAAGCCAGCAGTCCAACTCTCAGCTGAAAAATTGAGTAGCTAAGAGAATGCCCTGCTTGTGCTGAACTCCAAGGATTGCTCAGGAAAGGATACAGGAAAAGCTTCAATGGGCAAGGAAGTAAAAGCAGCATTCCTAGATGGAACAGCATTTGAAACGAGCATTCTAGTTGCCCTCTCTTAACAGATGGGGCTCAAGGTGTCCATCATCAAGACCCACCACCCTGTCCCTCACAGAAACCTCCCCACTTACCTGAAGCCATAGTAAGTGTCTGGATCAGCAAGTTCTGGAAATCGGTATTTCAGCTGACTCTGCAGAGTCAGCTTTTCATACCACATCTTACTGTCGATGCGGACATCCCAGTGCTTGTTGACCACAATGAAGTCCTCACTTTGATACAAAATTGACAGGTTGTCAATGCTTACAGGCTCCATAGTGGCAAACCCTTGGCAGAAAAAAAAAAGGTAGTTCAGAGCTTCCGTAACTGTTACACTTTATTTCTCAGGAGATGTTTGACAAATACAATGAACACCATTAAAGGATTGTAGTGTCCTCTAACCCAGAGATTTTTCTGGCTCTCCAGGAAGTTTTTGGAGATCACTTAGGATTTTCCAATAGAAATGGGAAATCACTCTGCACACATCCCTTGACTCAGTATAAGTAGCAGCAAAGCACAAACCCAAAGTTTTATGAATAGCTACTGAAGTTCAGTGATAGACCACCAACAGTTAAAAACTGTATGATTAAATGGATGCTGAATTTGGATGAATGGCAGTAATAGTTATGCAACAATGGGAATTTTAATGGAAGACCATTACATTTATGCTTAGGAGTTTATTTCATTACTGGTTTATTGCTCCAGTCCAGATCTCTAAAATGATAGTAAGTTTTTATTTTAAAAAACTCTATAAATATAATGATCAGGACAGAATATCTATGGAGATTCTTTGTCACCCAGGATAGTTGTCCCAAGGGTACTTTTTCAAAAAGCAACTGGACTTTGTTTTTTCCTTGTAGACATTTTACTTCTCAACCAAGAAGCTTCTTCAGTTCTGACCGAATGGTGGGGGGAACGGAAGGATTTATATTCCTCGCAGTCATCTGGTTGTTAGCACTCTCTTGAAGAGTTATTGAGGCCACTTGGGGTTTATTTGTGCCTTCAGGATCATCTGAATCAGCATGCAAATGGGTAGAACTCCTGAAAGGACTTTATTGTAAAAGGATATAGATTATGCCTTATCCCACCCTCTCTGTTGAGAGAAGGATGTTTAATTTTAACACAGATGACCTCTTTGACCCCTCTTTCAAACCAGTGGTCCTCTCTGTCCAGAATGTGGACTTTCACCATCTTGCCAACTGATAAAGGAAGATGCACAGTTGTCCTGAACACTGATGACTATAATGCCAAGGTGAAGAGTTTTCTGAAGGGCAGTGCTACATATGAGACTCTGAGGAGAGATTCTACCAGAAGTTATGAAAAAAAGGCCATTGATTTCCTGCAACTACCAAAGGACAGTGCCACCGACAAACCACAATATTACCACCTTTACCCTGGGGAAGCCACTCCATGCATATATGGACTTCCCTAAATCCATGAAGAGGGAACTCCACCCATTGTCAGCAGCATCAACTCCATTATCTACCAGGCTGTGAAACATCAAGCTACTTTTCCATCTTATTAGCTCACCACTCATCACATCAACAATTCACAAGACTTTGTCAAGTTTTAGAAGCTAAAACTGGATCTGGATGAGACAATGGTTTCTTACAATATGATTTCATTCTTCACCTGCATTCCAACGGAAGCTGTCACAGTAATGAAGAAACAACTGCTACAAAACAGCACATTAGGTGACAGAATTACACTCAGCCCAAGCTACATATGTGCCATGCTGGACCTCTGCCTGAATACAATGAAGGTTACTACAGACAAAAACACGTCTGCACCATGGGTCCACGTGTTTTCCCCATTGTGGCCAATCTCTATATGAAAGAGGTAGAAACCAAAGCCATGAACTCCTTCACAGGAATTCCACCTCTCACTGATCTAGATATGTGGATGATACTTGGGTCAAGATTAAAACACAGGAAGTGGAAGCCTTCATCAAACACTTCAACTCTGTGGACAGATACATCCAAAGTTTAAATTTCTCCTGACATCGTTTTTATATTTGAATTTTACTTAGAATTGTAGTGTGGGCGTAATTTATTAGTTACAAGTAAATTTTATACTGTCTGACTACTTTTCCTGATTTTATATTCTACTTAGAATGTACCATAGTAGTGATTTTCAAGTTTTTTAAAATAAACGGCAAACTAACACATCTCCACACACATTGTGGCTACGAGCAAAGGACCAGGGAATAGACCAGCAAAAAACTAAGTAAGTTTTTACTTTAAAAAGTTATAAATAAATTATGGGACAAGATAAATGTGAAATATTGGCAGATTTGCTATAAAGTTTAGGAGCCTGATACTCCCTAACACAAATCATGCATTAAAACTTAGAAGTGTAAATGATCCACTACCGGTGAAAGTCTGCATGTGTTTATCTGAAAACAAGTCATTCTGAGCACAAGAAGAGCTGAGCTGGAAAGTCGTCTAGGCCAGTCTCCTCCTTGGTGCAGGATTTGCTGCAGCATTTCAGATGCCTGCAGGTGGTTATTTGGCCTCTTATTTGAAGACACCCCAAGATCACTTCCTCTGGCAGCCTATTTGTTCCATGGTTGATAGATCTTATCAGCGGGAAACTCTTCCTCACAGTCCTGAATGTGGCTTGCTTGGTTTGGGTTTATTTCTTACAAAATGTATATCCTGTCCCCATTCTCACAAAATCCAGTGGGTTGTGCGAACCCCAAGGCGGCTTCCTAAAGTCGAGGCCTATGGCAGGCGGGGCAGCCTGAGGCCCCCGGGGCTGCCCGCTCTTTTGCACTCCTGGCACAGCCGCCAAGCCCAACTACGGAAAGGAGCAGCGCAGCACCTGCTCACCCTTCAGCAGACCCGCAACACACACACACACACACACACCGCCACTTTCGAATGGGGGGGGGGCCAAATTCAGGGCGAGCCCCGCGCAAGGAAAGGGAGATGGGCGCTACCTCGATTTATATAAATAAAATATAAATATAGATACGGTTCCGTTCCCCACTGAGCCTAGCATAGAGCTCGTCTAACGGGCGCCCCCCCCCCACACACACTTTTTTTTTTTGTTGTTGTTGAGGAAAAAGTCAGGGTGGAAGAACTCTGCGCATGGGCAGGAGCTCTGCTCTTCCGCCATTCACAAGCCCGCCCAGCCCGCGGTTTGGGGCCAGGGAAGCGGCCTCCCGCCCCTTCCACCGGCAGCTACGCCGCGTGGCTCCCGGGGCCTCCTTCGCCCCTTCCCAGCCTGGGCTACGTCCCGGGACTTCTCGGGCCTTTCCCCGCCGAGGCTCCCCGATCTGGGCTGAGGGGAGCATCCCCTGGTGCTCGGGAATTTCGGGAGGGACTCAGGAGCCGGGGCGGCGCGCCACCCTCCTTGGCCGGATACGCGGCCCCTGGGGCCGGTTCAGAGCCGCCCGCGGGGGCAAAGCGGCGAGACCCGCCCGCCAAGAGAGGCGCCGGCCGGCGAGTGAGCGGCCCACCCACCTGCCCTGTCCCGGGTCTCGGCGAAGGCGGCCCGCCAACAACGCCCCCCCGGCCGCACGGACCAATCAGCGCTTCCCCGGGCCGGAGGGGGCGGGGCGGATGGCCTGGAGGCTCCCCCGGAAGTGCAGGTTTTCTCGGGCCCGTCTGGCCCTCCGGCCGGAAGAAGGCTGTCCCGGCTGGCGGCGCTCTTTCCCGCCGTCGAGCGGAGCGGGAGGGGCGAGCGATGGAGGACGACGGGCGGGAGCTGTACGGCATCGAAGACGAGTTCGAGGCGCAGTTCGCCGACGAGCTGGAGGTCCTGGCGGAGCTGGAAGGTGGGGAGGGCGCGGTACGCCGACGCAGCCTCTTCTGGGGCAAAATGAGGGGCGCCCCCCCCCCTCTCACAAGGAGGGAGAGCGGCTGGAGGGCCCGGGGGGGGGGAGGGGACCGGCCGCTCTCGGGCTGCAGCTTCCCCGGCAGGAAAAGGGCTGCTTGACCCGAAAGACCTTCCGCTGCAAGGCCTGAGGGCCCCGGCTGAGGTTCTCTTCCTCCCGCGAAGGAGAGCCGCTCTCGTGGGGGGGAAGGCCTGGAAGGCAGCCGGGGAGACCGAGGGAGCCCCGGAGCCTCCCTGGGGAAATCCCTGCTGCTCGGAGTCGCTGAGTGGGAATCCTCCCCCTTGGGCCCTCTGGCGCCTCTCCGTGCAGGGCTCCTAAGGGCAAACGCCGCGTCTCCCGCGTGCCGGAGGTTGGATGCGGCCCACGCAACGATCCCGTTTGCCTAAAGGGCAGCACGGTCGAGGGCTATGAGATGCTTTGCTCAGCCCAGCTGGAAGGTTTCCTTTGGGTCTGCGAACCGTTTGACTGCTCTCCTGTTGTCCCTTGCAGGTCCAGCCCTACCAGTGGGACGCACTAAGGTCTCCAAATTCCACAGCCAAAAGCGGACATTTGAAGAGGCGCTCTCTGCTGGGGATCTGCTCAAGGACCTGGAAGAAGATGGGCCAGACCGGGTTCCCCCCAAGAAGATGCCGAGTGATGGTAACCCAAAATGCGAGGGACCCAAACAGCCCCCAACAATCACAGAAATGGTAGAAGGTGGTCTGATCCGGAAGGTTGGCTCAGTTCACTGTGAGTTTTAAAGTCCATTGTACAGTAAAAAGGGTTTTTTATCTGCTGATTTACAAAAGGATGGCTGTTGCATTTGGAGTTTTATTAAGGAACTAAGGCAATTTGACTTTATAGGGGCTGTAGCTATGACACGGGGTGCTTGTGCTCTTTTGCCTTGGGGCAAAACGGGAGATGGCATCTTTCAGCAATACTGCCTCGCCAGACACTTCTTTGGGCTATCTATCTATCTATCTATCTATCTATCTATCTATCTATCTATCTATCTATCTATCTATTTATTTATTTATTAAATTTATATACCGCCCTATTCCTAAGGGACTCAGGGCGGTGAACAGCCAACGATAAAAATACATTTAATATAAACGTTAATAAAAAACCAATTAAAAATATACTAAACACTCTGGTCCTAGATAATTCAAGACATCCCAGTTTAAAATAAAATCAAGAAGCAATATAAAGGGAAAGTTAGGCCAGGCCGGCCTGCTGAAACAGGAATGTTTTGAGGGCACGGCGGAAAGTGCGCAGATCCGGAATCTTCTGTATCTCTGGGGGGAGCTCGTTCCAGATGGTGGGTGCCCTCACAGAAAAGGCTCTCCCCCTGGGGGCCGCCAGTCGACATTGTTTGGCTGACGGCACCCTGAGAAGCCCCTCTCTATGGGAGCGTACTGGGCAGTGAGAGGCTATTGGTGGCAGAAGGCGGTCTCATAAATACCCCGGTCCTAAGCCATGGAGCGCTCTAAAGGTGGTAACTAAGACCTTGAAGCGCACCCGGAAGACCACAGGGAGCCAGTGCAGCTCGCGCAGGAGAGGTGTTACATGGGAGCGCCTCGTCGCCCCCATAATCCCCCGCGCGGCCGCGTTCTGGACCAGCTGGAGCCTCTGGGTGCACCCCAGGGGGAGCCCCATGTAGAGAGCATTGCAGTAGTCCAGGCGGGAAGTGACGAGGGCATGAGTGACCGTATTTAACGAGTCCCGATCCAGAAAGGGACGCAACTGGCAAATCAGGCGAACCTGATAAAAAGACCTCCCGGCCACAGCCGTCAAGTGTTCTTCTAAAGACAGCCGTGAGTCCAAGAGGACGCCTAAGTTGCGAGCCCTCTCCGTGGGGGGCAATGACTCATCCCCAATAGTCAGTGATGGCACCAATTGACTATATCGGGACGTCGGAAACCACAGCCACTCGGTCTTGGATGGGTTGAGCCTGAGTCTGTTTCTCCCCATCCAGATCCGTACAGCCTCCAGGCACTGGGACATCACTTTAAGGGCATCATTGGGGTGGTCCGGGGTGGAGATGTATAGCTGAGTATCATCAGCATACTGATGATACTTCACCCCAAAACCACGGATGATCTCACCCAGGGGCTTCACATAAATGTTGAACAGAAGGGGTGAGAGAACCGACCCCTGTGGCACCCCACATACAAGTGGCCTCGGGGTCGACCTCTGCCCCCCTGTCAACACAGACTGCGACCAATCAGAGAGAAAGGAGGAGAACCACCGCAACACGGTGCCTCCCACCCCTAACTCTTCCAACCGGTGCAGCATGATACCATGGTCGATGGTATCAAAAGCTGCTGAGAGGTCTAATAGGACCAGGATAGAGGAGCAACCCCTGTCCCGGGCCCTCCAGAGATCATCTACCAATGCGACCAATGCCGTTTCGGTGCTGAATCCAGGCCTGAAGCCCGACTGGAACGGATCTAGATAAGCCGATTCATCCAAGTACTGATGAAGCTGTCGCGCTACCACACTCTCAACAACCTTCACAATGAAGCGAAGGTTGGAGACTGGACGGTAATTAGCCAACACTGCTGGGTCCAGGGAAGGCTTCTTGAGGAGAGGCCTCACCACTGCCTCCTTCAAGGCGGCAGGAAAGACACCCTCTCTCAAGGAAGCATTTATAATCCCCTGGAGCCAGCCTTGTGTAACCTCCCGAGAGGCCAGCACCAGCCAGGAGGGACACGGGTCCAATAAACATGTGGCCACGCTCAGTCTGCCCAGTATCTTGTCCACGTTTTCCGGAGTCACAGAATCAAACTCTTCCCAGGTAATATTCTCAAGACTTGCCTCCATCCTCCCTCCCGAACCTACCCAGTCAGAGTCCAAATTTTCCCGAATCTGAGCGATTTTGTCATACAGATATTGTACAAAGTCCTTGGCTCTACCCTCCAAGGGGTCCTCCCATGCTTCCTGGTGGAGCAGGGAGCGGGTCACCCTAAACAGGGCGGCCGGGCGATTATCTGATGACGCAATAAGAGCGGAAAAATAGTTACACTTTGCCGCTTTTATTGCCACCAGGTAGGTCTTAATATGAGACCTTACCAGTGTTCGGTCAGATTCAGAACGGCTGGCCCTCCAACTGCTCTCCAGGCGTCTTTTCCGGCTTTAAAGAGGAGGTTGGCATGCTGCAAAGCAAAGCAAACTTTTCAGCCTCACAATTCGTGCCGGAAAATTTTATCCCTCAAGGACTTTGACTTTGAGTACTTCAGTCCCCCAAGCATTTCTAACATTCTGAAAATAAAGGGTCTTTCCAATTTTAGGGAAGCTGCCAGTAAAGAAGAGAGACAGGGTACTCTCAAAAGGGAGATCCAGGAATCTGGTACAGCTACTGAAAAGGTCACAGCCAAAGTCTCAGTAAAATGACCTTGGGAATTGTTGGAACTTACCTTTGGAAGAAAATGGGGACTCAGTGAGGGAGTAGCATTTGATTGATAGCAAACCCCACCTCCCTCTCATTCCCACTTCCCTCCCTCTCCGTCTCTTACTGTCCTATCGCTGTATCCTCGTTTTCTTTTTCATTGTTTATTCTATTCCATTAGAATTTGCTATTGTTATATTTACACTTTTTATTTCTCCGTTTTGTTGTGAGTCACCTAGAGTGAACACAGTGAAATGGGTAGCAAACAAATAAAAAATAAAGGTTCTCAGAAGAGGTTCAGATTCTGTGGCAGGAGATAGAAATCTAAACCAGGGATGGGTAGCTTTTCTTGGTTGGGGACTGCAGGGGCATGGCCAGTGGGGTGATGATTGTCCAAACATGGACAAGGCCAAAATATTCGCATCCTTAAGCCTTGCAGAGATTTTATCCCTGGAAAGCGACAAAATGTGGAAAATCTATTTGACTTATGAACAAAAAGTTCTCAACTGGCTGAATGGAATTATATGGGTTGAAGTCCCACCCTGCTGGAGAGTACCAGGTTGAGGAAGACCCCTTTACAAATAAAACAGCTGTTCCTTCTCTGCTCCCTGGCATTCTGACAGCACCGAAACCAAAGCGACGGCGACTTGAAGCTGTGAAAAGGCTGGACTTTGGGCAGCTCAACAGAATTGTCTCTGAAGACTCACCGCAGGATAGTTCAGCACCAACTCTTTCTTCAAATGACCTGTCTGAATACCTGGATGAAAGGTTAGTTCATCAAGACTAACAAAACACAGGGATTTGAATGATACCAGATCTGCCCTCGTAGGAAGTGTGAGGAGCTTCCCCAGTTTTCCATCATTCCAGTTGGACATTTGTAAGATCCAAAGGCATCCCAGACAATAACAATAGTGTAATTGATGCCTTTTTCCATCAAAATATTTTTTTGACATAGGACATTGATAGGATTTGAGCTATTGATAGGCTACTACACTGAACTACTGTTGACTATTAGATGGCAGGGGACAGGTACAGAAAGCCATAATGACTGTCATCTAGTAGTTGTCCGCCATTTTGCAATCCAGGTTTGGTAGCCCAGAACTGAGGGAGGTTAGTGGGCAGCAGGAGAAGGGTCTGGGAGCACATTACTTAAGGAAGAGGAGTTATAAATAAGGTTGTGAAATATGGTTCCCTTTGGCACAGGGCATGTCTTTTCCAGATAGTT